AAGTTTCTTGTGCATATAGTTCCAGATACAGTGTGTCTGTGTCTGAAGTCAAGCATCCAAAACCAGGGGCACTCAGAGCTACTTGATACAGTGTGTCTGTGTCTGAAGTCAAGCATCCAAAACCAGGGGCACTCAGAGCTACTTTTCAGAATGCACAAGTCCTTGAGATGCAGCCCTTATTGTCTGGTGTTTCGAGTTCATTGTTTATGAAAAAATGGTAGTTTGAAATTAGGTGCAGCAAGTAGAAGCTTTTGCTTTCTTCACAATGATGCCTTTTTGCAGTTCTGAGTGGTCTGACTGCCTTGCAAGCCTCATCAGTTCCCAGCATCCATAAACAATTGCTTTTGTCCCTAGAAGTGAAAAAAGATAGAAGAGGTGGAAACCCCAGGATAACAGGGTCTCTATTGAATTTTCTTGGCTCAGAGGAGCTGACAGGCCAAGGAAGCCAAGGTTTTAGAAATGTTTCAGACAGAGAAGATTGCAAGGGGTTGGTCACTACAGAAATATGCCAGCTAGCATTTACTGTGCAATGGGCAGTGCCAGGCTGCTTTTGTTTAGTTCAGCCTACTTCGAAACCAGGGGATGATTTGGGGTCTTTTCCCTGTGCTGCTTCTCACGGTGGATGTAGAATCTGTATTCAGAGCAATTACTGTGCTGCAGCCAGTGGTATCGATTTGTGAGGCTCTCAAGTGCAGATAACTACTTAGCCAGCTTGATAGTGATTAAAATTTTAGGAAGCAACTTGGTAATAGGACCATGGGGGTCCTAAACTTTTCAAAATGTAAGCATCTTCAGTGTAAAGGCAGTGGGGTCACTGCCTTGCACTCCCTTTGGCTTTCCTAAGTCTTCCTTTTCCCAAAAGATTTTTTCTCTTTTTCTTTTCCTTTTTCTTTTTTCAAAACAACCAGACAATTATACCAAAAAACCACTAAAAGTTAATCACAAAAATACAATAGACACCATTCAGCAGAAAGCATTGCAAGGATATCCCTGGTGTCCTGAAATTTCTGGGAGTATTACAAAAAGCCTGAGATTAAAGGGATGGACAAAGGATATGCTGGCATTTTACCACAAAGTGAAAACATAGACTGAGGCAAGAAGAAAAGCTTGTGGATATATGAGTGTTTGGTCTTTGAGAGCAGATGCTGAAAGGGAAGAATGGATTTGAGAAATATGAGAAGAAAGCACTGCTAGCATAGCAAACAGAAGTTGCTCAGAATAGGGAATGGCAAATTTGGGACTATTTATTTTTAGAGAGATTTCTGAGAGAAATCAGTGGCTGAGTGAGTCCCAGAATGTTGTTTATCTGTACCCCTGTTCTTTGTAGGGTGCGTGGTCTATCAGCTGCTGAACACACAGCACTTTCCTTGTCTGCCTTTGCATTGCATTGCCCATGTTGCACTGCCCATGTGCACAAAAGGTAATGAAGCACAGTGGGCACCTGTATTAAGTTAGAAAAACTGAGTTGGAGGCTTTGGTATTGTAATAATTTGGTATTTATTATTTGGTATTTGGTACTACAGCATGTAGTTTTCTTCTTCCACATGTGAAGCTTGTTCTTCTTGATCATTCTGGCTTTGATTCAAGAACCTTCCAGTCTGATCAGGAATGGAATTTCTTTGTAATCAGGTATTCATTCTTGTTCATACTGTTTTTCAAAACTTAATAATACCCAGAAGAGAGCAGAAGTACATTGACTTTCTCAGCTTCTAAGAATAATGAGGGGTTTTTTTCCCCAGCCAAATGAAAAAGACAAGAAAACCCACTAATAGAATAGCTGGATGCTTGGTAGTGTTGTGATTCATTTGGACGACATACTGAAAATTCAAGAATTCTGATATATATCCTACAGTTCCTAACACCTTTTTTTCTAGTAGATGCTTTATGAACAGATTGTCCTATGAATGTAAAAGGATATGTCTGTCTTCCTAGAGAGAGCACGTTTTCAGGGGCAGTACAACCTACAGCACAATATTTATCTCATGTGTATGCTCACAGTGGTCAATATTGCATTTCTGAATGTCTCCCAGGCTTTTATATGTCCTAGAGTAAGTAGTAAGGCTGATGTAGCTGTAGAAAACAGTTCTCAGAAAGAGGACTGCTCAGGACATTCAGGTGCACCTTTAATTGCAATCCATACCTCATCTGTAATTTCTGCTTTTAAAACTAGGTAATAAACATAATTCAGGTCTGTTGTGTTTCCTGCTGTGGGACCTTTATGTGATCACATGTGGGTATCTGTAGTGGAGAGAAACAGGCCTTTCCAGGATAAATTCTTCTCATAAAGTCACATCTGACACTCTTCAGCTGATCCACAGTGCAAAACTGCCTGTATCATCTCTCTGCCTGCAAAGAGAGCTGAGTGTGATTAGTTCAGAGTTAAATATCTGTGATGTATAACTGGGTAAGATGAATATTACTTTATGTAATACTCTTCAGGTGGTCTGGAGAGATATATCCTAGGGCTATCATGGAACAAGACAGTGTGATCCAAAAAAAGTGACATTAGAAGAATGCTGGTCAGTAAGGTCTCAGCAGAATCCAGATGGAAGTGATATGTTTCTGGCAGGCAGCTCTGTACAGTTAATATTGATTTGAGCAGATGTGTATTTGTATTTTGCCTGTTCTTTACAGCTGATTTTTTATGTTGACATTTAATATTATGGGCATGACCTTGTGCTGTCACAAATAAATTAAACCTATTATATATCAAAGCAATGAAATGTGCATTTTCTAAGGTAGGGAGAAAGATCTGGCAGATAGGAAGTCATGGATATGGCTCTTGACTATACCTCAGATGTCCTGTTTGACTTTAGGAATTTCCTCCTCTGGACCTTAATTTTCATCTTTGTCATCACATTTCAAAGTCACAGGGGTTAGGAGACATCAAAAGAAAGGAAGTCCTGGAGGTTTATCACCAGCTGTGTTTCAGCTGTCCTTATTCTGTACCCCCTTGGGACGATTGATGGTTTAATTCTACCTGGAACTGAAGCACCTACAGTCCCCGTGCTGCCTGTTGTGGTATGAGACTGAGCAATATGCAGGTGACTGCTTTCAGGGCTTGAGGGGTCCAGATCTTTGTATGCTGCTCTTAAGGCACCTAGGAGTTTGATGTAAATTACGGCTCATAAAATTGTCTGTGTTTGCCTGAGGAGATGCAAAAGATGTTTCTCTTGGGGTCAGAATAGTGCTGTGAGGAGGAAATTCACAAAACACCTGAGTGTAGACTCACATGCTTTGCTGGATGAGCACCATTGTTGAGAGACACAAATATTCAAATTTGTGCAATCTGTTCCTTGTTTCTTTGGCGAGTTCACATCCCCATGGAGGTGTGTGAGGTCAGGAGGAGGAATGAGCTGACAAAGCTGTACTGTGGCTTCTGCAATAGCCCAGTTCCAGGTGGACTATTCCAATATTCCAGTTCCAGTATTTAAAGTCCATTTAAATAAACAAGAATAAAGGGGATATATGCTAGCTTTGTCCTTCTGCACTTTTTTTAGAGCTGTTTGTCACTGGCATCTGTCCATCTTGACCTGAATTCTAATGAGCAGGCCCAGAGTTTTGGCCCTATATCTGCTGATTGGAGCAGGCATAATAAAAATGCCCTAGGAATGTGCTTCCTCCCCCCCTTACTGGGTGTCAGTTACCAGGAAACAGATTTTAAGTGGAAGTTGAATGTTTAGGGTAATAACACCTTGCCATAAACTTTATTAAAAATGGAGAAGAGGTAAAAGCAATGCTGGCTCAGAGAATTTTCTGAACTGCAGTCCCCAGCAAAGAGGAACAAAACCTTTTCTATCTAGTGAGTTGCTATATATTTTGTCAAGCAAAGGTAGGGATTAATCAGGACACAGTCTTGTTACTGTTAACATTTTTATAATAGTTATTAGTTAATGCACATGATGATTAAGCACTGGAGGTGCCTCTGATTGCAGTCAGTGGGAACTGAATTAAGGCCTAAATCACTGTTTGAATATCTCTTCTGATTTCCTGAAAAATAATGAGGGTTTGAAGAGAACATCTAATTTGTCTATCACTGGAAATGAATGTGTGTCTTCCCTCATGCTTCTATTAACGAGGAGGTCAGCCAGCTAACAAGAAATGGGTTGTTTAACCCTTCTCTTTAATCTTTTAAATTAAAAGATTCAGTTGGGATTGGGATTTGGATGATGGGTCAGGACCAGGAACAAGGCTGCTTGTCAGAGGTGCTGCAGAGGCAGCTGTACAGTGGGATTGGCACGTGGAGCAGTCAGTCAGTCTGTCCATCAAACCACTGGACATTTGGACTCTTCCAGGGAACTGAGGAGGCCACCAGTGCCAGTCCAGGGGAGCCTCAACAATGGAAGCAAAGTTTAATTCCCTGAACTCCTTATTTGCAGTGCTCAATGCCTTTACTTTGTTACTTTCTAATTCAGAGGGAACAAACAGTCATTTTCAATGTGACACTTCTTTTATTAATGGAATACTGTTTTTATTAGATCAGAAGTGATAAAATGTCTCAGGATAAAATGAGTTTTTAAAACTTCTTAATTAATGAGGGAACATTGATCATTAAGAGTGTCAATTAAGCAAATGTGCATAAAACGTCCAATATAAAGGAACAGCTATAATTAGTATGCTGGCAAATACTATTATCCCATCAATTAAAGTCTTCTGTATTCCACTGTGAACTAAAAGGCATCCTTCTGACCAAACCAGGAGAAATATCAAAATTTCATGTGCCAACAAGAACAGAACAGGGCTCCAGGTGGAAAGAAGTGAAGGGTGAGAAATAAAGAACTCATAAGTACAATGACATTCATTAGATAAAATGGTAGAATTTCTTTAAAATATTCTAGTTCATTTTAGGGAAAACTCCAAAATTATTTCAAAATTATGAGCTCTTATTTGTGAGTATGATTTTATCTCCAGTTAAACAGGATCTCCTTTGAAAGCAGTATCTCAGCCATTTGTGGTGTATGTTTTTTTTTAATGCCCTTGTCTCAATCTGTCTTTCACAGGTCCATGATGGGGAATGGAAGAGAGGCTGACCTCGTGCACCTGGAGGCAAGGACAGTGGATGGTCGTAAGTACATCACCTCCCAAATATTGGGGTAAACCGGGCTCTCCTCATACTCTTGCAACCATGCAGTACCCCAGCAGAAATCTCACTTCTTTTAGTGATGCACTTATTTAGTAATAGGAGTTTGGCTGCTCCAAATCAGTTCTGTCAGAAGAGAAGCCTTTCCAGCAAGGCAAAAGGTTGGGTTAACCAGGCTGTGAAAGGACTGAGGACATGGTAAGGAAGAGTAGACCAGCAGTAACTTGAGTTACTACACACAACAGTTTAATTTCTTCTTACATGATTTTTGTTGATGGCAACATGACACTGAAGAGACATTTCTGGGTCATGAAGCCTAGCTGCTGTTTGTTCACACAGTACATAACATCACTGTGTCTATAGCTTTATGGTTTTAGCAGACCAGGGATACTCTGCCTTAGGTACCACCTTTGAAAACACCTAATTAGAAACCTTTTAATGACCAGTCTGAGTTCATTCTTCACTGTTACTGCATGTCCTGTTGTTGTCCTTCACTTTCACCAGCTCCTTTCCCTCCCTGCTTTGCCTCTTGAGGTGGTGTTTTTTTCTATTCCAGGAGCCTCCTTTACCTGCAACTCCAAAATATTCTCCTAATTGGCTGTAAATTCTCTCAGGCACCCTCAGCCACCTGCTGGCCTTCTCTCCTCCCATCCAGGCTTTCTCAAGGTTTATCTTTGAGCTCCACTGCCTTTGCAGATCTTTCTCCGTGGGTTTCTTTTCCACAACATTGGATTGCCTCAGGCAGGCATCACGCTGAAATCCCAGCTGCCAGAGATCTAGTAATTTTAATTCCATATTGTTTCCTCAATAAACAGCTGAGGAATTTATTCCTCAGGAATGCTTTATTCCTGCAAGGAGGTTTTTACCATTTGCAGTACCAGAAGTATTAATGATGCCTTCAATTAATTCTTTTTTAAATGGATAAAGTTCTCCCTTGAATTGTACCCTCAAATGCAGTGGTGCTACTTAAAATGTGCATTTTATCATTGGAAATTTAAAAAATATCTGAAAAGTTAATTGTAAGGTAATCTGGTTTTTAACTTAGAGAAATTTAGCTTGAAAGAGAATTTTTTTTGAAGATGAATTTCAAAAAGAAACAGTTGCGATAGAAACCATAAAGTTTTAAAGGTCTTTTCATTTCAAGGTACGCAGGATTAGTGACAGTGAAAGAACATATTATCTCTATTTCTTATAATTTGTGATCTATGAATATTATTTCTGCTCTCAATTTCACTTACCTGATGTGGCACCAAGGCTTGGAACATGAGGCTTTCTATTTCTTGGGACATGCTAAAAGGAAATATTCTAACAGGAGAGTGTCTATTTCAGCACAAAGTACTGCTGTTAGAAGTCATTAAAACTTGAGGCCATTGAGATGAATCGCTACAAGTGATGTTAAAAGAGCTGTATTCTGGTGATGCATTTGAGGGATATTCAGCTCACAGTGGGCAGAGAAAGTACCATGCTCCAAATGCCCTGAAAAGTCTTGTTTGTGTTCTTAGGCTGAAATAAGAACATTTTGCACAGCCACAGCACATTTTTGAGGAAAACTTCTTGGGTTCCTAACAAATTAGTAAGCTTCATTATAGTTCTTAAAGTGGGAACTAGAAAACAGGTAGATGAAACTGGCTTCACTGAGGAGTCAGACATATTAGGGAAAAGAATATAATGGGGAATAACAAATTATTGCTCATCGACTCAACACCACTAACAGATTGTGCACACTTATATTGGCTTAGTTGTGAGGCAGCACAACTAAAGTTTTTCATTTTATTCAGTGTCAGAACTAAAAATATAAATATATCAGTGATATATTTATAAATATAAATATAAATATAAATATAAATATAAATATAAATATAAATAGAAATAGAAATAGAAATAGAAATAGAAATAGAAATAGAAATAGAAATAGAAATATATTTGACCCCTGCAAATCACTTGGATAAAACTTCTCATAATGAATCAGGGCTCACCTTGCTGTCAATATAAGAAAATACGTTGGATTTTCAGTGTGTGCTCTGTTTTGCCCCATGTTCCAAGGAGTGTTGGTCTCTACCTAGAGGACTCTGGTGGGTAGCTGGAAGCAGTAACCTTGGAACATATCACAGCATTTTTCCCAGGTGTTTGGAAGCACTGCAGGTCCCAGGTTTTTAAGGCCAAGACAGGCAGAGAGCGTGCACATGGTCCATTACTGTAGTTACCATGAGCAATTCGGTATGTACAGGTCTCTTGGCTACTAGAGCTTTCTTCCAAGAACCAAATCAGTCTCCTTTTCCTGCACAAAGTGATCATCACCCTCCAATGGATGAACAAACCTTTACCTCTGGAATGGAGCAGGTGTGTTTCTGCCAGTGGGGTAATGGAGTGAACTGTGCTGAAGTGAGAAAAATACTTTATTCCAGACTGAGGGTAATCTGCAAATAATTTTTATTGGATTTTTATGGTGGTTTTTTACATGTTCTTACATTTATTTATTTATACTTTGTTTGGAATATCTCTTTTGAGAGTTAACCAAGTGTAAAATTTCAATAAAGGGATTAAATTTGAGAAGGTAGATTTGCCAAAACAAGGCAGAGAGAAAAAGGAAAGAAAGGGGAGTAGTGTGTAAACAACTACCCAATCTGTACAATAAAATAAAAGATCCTGAAGTGGAAATATAAGGGCTAAGGAAAAATCTGCTGAACTGAGTATAGATAAGGAAAAAAACCCTCATTTTTGTGCTGGTATCTTTTCCAGCAGAAGCTGAGTAGTGCAACTGTGGCTTTAGGTGAGAAGAAGTTGCAATGTCAGCCAGGTACAGGGTCTCCCTGACTGAGTTGTTTGAGAATATCTGTGAGCAACACCCTTAGTGCTGGGCTCTCCTTGCTTAGAACACCAGTAACTCTCTATCTCTGCTCTCTGATTATGGTCTGTCTGTGCACTTAATTTATTGTGCTTATGTACATAATGTAAAAGGTTTGCAAGGACCAAAACAAGAGTCTCTCAGCAGGCATAAATCACTATAACTTCAGTGGCATTGATTTACAACTGCTGAGGATCTGGCTAGAGATGTTCCTGAGTGCACGTTCTCCCTACTTCTTAAATTTTTTTTTCCCTTTGTTATCCAGAAAAAATGTGGACTTCTCATGAACACACTGTGTCTCATCAAACTAGGGAGCAGGTAGTGATGAGCGAGCTGAGTGCAGCCTGCTCAGTTTAGTTCTGTTGGTGGAGACAGATTTGCAGGGCTAATTGCTGCCACTTATGTTTTTCATCCTGTTGTGTAAGTTTTGGAGAGCATGCAAATTTTCATCTTGTGGAATGTCATGCTTTTGTTTATTTTTCAAAGGCCTCAGGCCCAATCCATATCAATGTGGGGCTGAGAGCATAGTGGTAAAACTGATTTTCCTGGTTGGAAGAAGTTCATATGAATGTTATCTCACATTTCCATTTGTACTCTGGGGTGTCCCTGGTGTTTCGCTCTGATTTTGGAGAAGGATCAAAGGCAAGCCAGCAAAGTCAGCAGGAATTGTGATTTTTTTTGGGGTTTTTTGGTTTTTATTTTATTTTTTGGTCTGGCTTCAGGGCAACACCCCAGTAAGACAATTAATCCCCTACGGTTCTTAATCACATGATAAGCTTCTTCTGTTACATTCACCACCACAGCCAGCAGACAGCATGATGGTGGAAGTTAAATCCAGGTTTGCTCAAATGCAACTTGAAGTGCTTTCAGAAGATATAAACTCAATGACACGTGAGCTTCAGGTTTATGAAGAATATACAAGATCCTAAAATTAACAGACTTACCTGATTTGAGCTTGGTGGGGTGATCCCAGTGAGGCCTGATTCAAGCTAATTAAATGGGAGGTAATTTTTATTCAGGTGGTGCCTACTGAGGAATCCAGACTGCTGGTGCAAATTAGAAAGAGTGATTCCTACAAGGCATTTGGACTAACTGGGTACCTGCTGGCCATCCAGAGAATGGCAAAACTGACTCAGAGCATGTCTAAATGACAGTTTCTATAGACAGTAAAACAACTATTACATTTATGAGCTATGCATTTGCTTTTGTTGATAAGACACCAATTTATTTAGAGTAAAGTTTTTAATTTATTTTTTTTAAGTGTGGATGAAAGAAGCTAAGGGGTTTTCTAATGTGCTGGCAAAAAATTTAGAGAGCTCCTGTTGTTTAAAAAGTAGTTTTGTTTCCTTTGCTTTTCTTCTGCTGTCCTGATTTACATAGCAGTTTTTCCTACTGAAAGGTAATTTAGGTGCTGCTGTGATTCAGGTAAGACCAAAGTCTCACCTGGGGCCAGCAGACATGTTCTGCTTGCTGATCCACAGGGACTCAGCATCTGGCCAATAGTGCCTGAATCAAAAAGTTGCACTAGTACTTTAATTTCTGTTTTCACAGAAAATTGCTGGAAAGAATAAAATAACCACTGTTGTGGAAAAAATGAGTAGGCAGCCTAGCCTGGCAGTCTTTTCCTAACATAGCTACAGTGCTGAATTAATTCCTGTAGTGCCCTAAACCTGTGCAGTGATTTATTTTTTTTTCCTGATTGTGATTAGTGTTTTTTCCTGATCATGATTAGTGTTTGTCCTGGAGAATGACATCTGTTAGTTTCTCTCATTATAGCTTTATGTCAGAAATGGCAGAGGATGTACATCCCTATGTAAAGAAAGATTTCTGATGCTGACATGCAATGAAGAAAGACTAGCAGCAGGATAAAACCAGATTTGTGAGTGGTTAGTAAATGGGATGGTTTCATTTCACTGATCTTCATTACTGGTTAATTGCTCTGCAGTTGCTGAGACCTGGAGAGTTGTGAGCATATTCCCATACCATGCATGTTTCACAAATCAACATTCAGACCAGATGGAAATGGATAAAGAACAGTCATTTTGTGGGCTTCTCAAAAAAAGATTAAAGCATGGGAGAAGATTTAATTAAACTGTGGAATTCACTGCCATAGGAGGTTGTGAATGCTGAAGATGTACCTGCACTGCTGAGGCACCCTAGACTTGTGTTATTAGTCACTGGGGGAGAGGGGTTACAGTCCTGGGTCTTTCAGTGCCATATGTCACTGCCACGTTCTTATGGGTCATTAGGTACAGGATGCCAGTCATGCTTCAAAAGCAGAAACTCTCCCTAATGTCTAACCTGCTCAGTAATGAACTGGGATGCTCCACAGAAAATCTGTGAGAGAAAGAGATTATTGACTACATTGCATAAAACTCCTGATTTCTCCACACTGGGTTTATTGACAGAGGAAAAAAAAACATTCCTCCATGAACTAAAGGCAGGAAAAATATAAATTATACATTTTCAGAATGACCATTTTCTCTGACTCTCCCTGTGATCAAATAAGATTTTGAGAAGACATACATGTGAGCTTATGCTAGGAAGCAGTAGATATTAGGGTTTGATATTTAATCCAAAAAATCACTTGTCAACAAAACATCCTGAAGAAAATCTCACTGCTTTAGGAAGGGATTTAAAACTCTCCTGTTTACTTTTGCAGAGGCCAACCAACCTTCAGTAGCCACCAATAACCTTCCTTCTCCACCAGCTGAGCCAAGAAATGTCTCTGGGAGACGTTGGATCCATTTGCATTGAGAACATATGAGCACGGAGCTCAAGCTAAATGTAAAAGACTAAAATATTTCATGGCACAGGGTCCCCCTGGATCTTAACTTTTTCTGTTAGATATTGCAATTCTCTTTCACCACTGAAACAGATTAATTTTGTCAGAGGTTTCCCTTACAAGATGTCTCCGTTCTTGTGTTCTGTGACTTTTCTTGCTTCCTCTTTAGAAATAGCTGCCATTCCCTGAGAAGATTCCTACTCTGGGTTTCTAAACCTGTCAAAAATGAAAGTGTCTGGGGGTGTAAGAGCTGGGAGTTGCAATGTTCTTCTCTCCAGGCACAGTGTGACTTTGTTGTTGTGTATTAAAAACAGCAGCTGTTGTTGGAGGTGAGGGTTCTGGAAATGAAAAGCATAATGTCCTAATTACCTATGGCAGGGAAAACATCTGTGCAGGAAAACTAATGAAATTAATTCCAGAACTTAGCAACTGAATACATTAATTGACATTAATTAATGCTAAATTACAAAACTCTGCCAATGGAGTCACATAAAATGTCTGCAAGAATGAAATGGAAAAAATCCTTGAGTTAATGTGAACACAGAAAATCTTCCCCTAGGAAAACAGTGAGAACCAGGCACTGCAAGAAGCCTGCTTTTCCTTACTTCTGTCTCCTGTAGCAAAAGGAGCTTTTCTTGTTTTGCACATCTCAGTGTTTGGCTGTTTGGGAGATTAGCTTAAGCAATTTCAGTGCTCTGCCCTTTTGTAGTTATTACTGGCATTTTAGAATTGAAGCCATGGAGAATTGCACTGTAAAAGTTCATGGGAATTGCCTTAGTAAATCTTTATCAATGATGCAATCACAGCTGCACAGACTCCTGTGATCACAGCAGAAATAGGGTAGTCCCCATTCCTCTATTAAAGCAGGATCCAAAGAACCTCAGTCTCCTCTAATGGATGTCAGTCTGCTCTTGAAAATCTCTTGTGGAGGAGATTCCTTCATCCCCCAGTCTTTCCAGCAGCTCAGGTGGCAATAGGACCATTTCAACTGAGGCTGCTTTGCTGAAGCTCAGGATTGGCACACGTTTCACTCAGGAACTTTGCTGTGACAGAGTGAGAGACTCCTCCTGGAGCTCTGTGTCCAGCTCTGGAGCCCTCAGCACAGGAAAGCTGTGGACCTGCAGCAAGTGCAGAGGAGGCAGAGGGCTGAGCAGCTCTGAGAGGGAACTTTGCTGATCTCACTGGAATGAGCAGGCTGGGAATTATGTCGTTCCCTGCCCTCTCGTGGCTAATGTGGAAAAAATCATGTCCCTCTGAAGGGAAGTACATTTTGATCATGCTGCCCAGGCTGTGTTCATTAATGTTTTGCAGTGAGCTGCTAAGGCATAAAATGTTATAAACGGCAGCGGCTAATAATACTTAGTGCTTTCAATATTCCAAGAATCCTGCAAATGCTGGAGAAAAATCATCCCTCATCGAGCTTTCCCAAAGGTGTGTTATCCTGCATGACTGTTTCAAGCAGAAGTCAACAGCCCTTAAAAGCAAGGAAAGAAATGTAAATGATAGATTTTAATTAAAACCAAGTTTAAATACAAGATGGTAAAATTCCAGCCAGTTCTGTTTCAGTGTAAAATGCTGTTTCTCTGATCTGAAGGTGGTAATTATATCAAACAAGGGGTTGTGTTTCTCCAAGGAAAATTAGGAGTACTTCTAATATTAAATGCAATGTAGTGTTTCTGCCATGTAAGTACTAATGTGAAAAAGTCAAAATCGTTCCTTGTGTGGATCAGGTTTGTCATAAAACAAAGCACAAATTTTAATGAATCTGGAAGAGTCCAAACAGATTACTGAGAATCTGGTCCTGTATTCTAGGATAAATTGTCCCCATGAAGAAATTCAAACTATTTTTCTTCAGGTGACAGATTATGAGATGAACACCTTGCAGTGCTTGAGAAGAGGTGGTGAGGACATCCCACGTGGTGACAGTGGATGGGATGGCTTGCATGGCTGCAAGATGGGTGGCTGCATTTAGGCCATTTAATTTGTAACTGCTAAGACTTCTACTTACAAGAGAGTGTGGAATGATTGCCCAGGTCTGCCAGAGTGCACCTACCTATGCTGTCAGCAGAGGAGTTGGTGAAGCCCCTAAACAGGAGTTGGTCTGAGATACTTTCCAAGTCAATCTGAATCACTCTACAGAGTGTAAGTGATGTAGGAAATACAGAGGTGCATCATGGAAGATTCTCCCTTGGTAAAAATGTGTATTTCTGACATCTGATCAAGAGCAGAGTGAAAGAAATAATGGGAGGTTGAGGCAGGTAAAGAAGGAAGGATATTACAGGAAGAAAGTAATTGAGAGTGGATTTACAGAGGATGTAGGGGAAAGAAGATTTGTGTGGTGTTGGATGGATGGTGTCAATTCACATGAATCTGGGAAGCAAATTGCCACCTCGGCAGACTGGTTGATGACAGTAGGAGGAATCTGTGCTCAGGATCTCAAGTGTGTTGTTTTTGTTCTTTTCCTTTCAGATGCCCAATACATCACCTGCAAGATGCAGAACTGCAGTGAAGCCACCCGTAGCAAACCCTTTCCAGGCTACATTGACCATAACTCCCTGATCGTCCAGGGTGATTATGTCTTTGTTCAGGTGCAGAACACCCTCTTCTTTTATTTATTCTATTACTTTATATTATACTAGTCTACCTTCTATTATCTTCTCTTGCATTCCTTTGCATGTGTGTGCCTGTGTGTTAGTTTGCAACTACTCAGACAGCACTGGATCCATCAGGGCACTGAGTGGGTTGTAGCAGTTTGTTACAATGCTAACTGTGTTCCTTTAAGCTCTGGTGTCTTGTTGCTGTAGGACCATAGAGTTCCTGCCTGAAGTATGTTCCCTGTGTGCTGGAGTGCTCTGTGCCACTCCTTGCAATCTCATCAGCACCCTGGAATTACTGCTTTAACCCCCCAGCTGGAAGTGGTGTGTCACTCATCTGCTATTACAAGGGAATAGACCAAAGCTTTTTTGAGTATGAGAGAGAAATAAGGAAGAAGGGAGGGAGTCAGGGAAAGCACCAAAGGAGTAATCAGGCTTTATTGTTATGCCTCAGTTGTGATTATAGTGAAAAGGCAGAAGATGGGATGTACTCAACCAGGCTCTCATTCCAGGTGAGAGCTGGTGAATAGATTCGAACCACTGTGGGTTTCATTAGGCTGCTGCCAGTGTCCATTTAATGTTAGCTGAAGAGGAGAAAAATAACAACAGAATTGTAGGGAACGTGGAGGTGAACTGGAGATCATTTGCACTAAACTGGGCTTCCAGACAGTTTCTGTTTTAGCATGCTTGTGAGCGTAGGGGAGAGGATTGATATTTTACATTGGGTTAGTTGATGGCTAATTGGCTTCAGTTAATGAACTGAGTCTTAAACACCAGTCTAAATAATCTACAAATAAATCTGGGACATACACTTCAGAACAGCTTTTGTGCCTTGTGTGTCTGAGGCAAAAAGGAAGTGTTTATGTGGCAGGGAAAGCAGGGGCATGCGTCACTGTTTAGCCACACTCTCTCATTCCAGAATGGCTGTGTGTTTGTGGCTCGACTGACACAGGAGCTGGAGCATTTCTCTTTAGCTGTCCTGGCTGATGCTGGATCTGGTGTTTTCCCTTCTGTTCTTCAAAGGAAGAATAATCCTGTGCCAGGCTGTGTATGCATGGAAGAATAGAAGAACACCCTCCTTCTAGCCTTCCCTCCCTTCCTTCCTTGATCTCCATCTGGCTTTTCTGCAGCTAAGCCATTTGGAATGAATTACTAGGCTTAAAAGAACCAGGATAAAGGAATGGTAGTTTATTTTCCTACTAAACTTGTTTTATTTACAAACTCTCACTCTCTCATTAAAAAATATTTCTGGCCTTCCTTCCCCTAACTTTTGCCCAGTTCCCTTAAAAAAAAAAATAAATAGAAAGTTGAAGAGCTTTGGAATGAGAAATAGTGCTTATTTTACTCAATCAGGTATGAACCTCTGTGTATCTTGCATTTTAAACTACTGCAGTGCATTTTAAAACACTTACTACTAAAGGAAAGTCTTGATAAGCTCAGATATCAAGCAATTAAAGCAAAGTTCTGCATGGAGAATCCCTTGGCATATTTGTTTTTCAGTATCTTTCATCCAAGGATTTCAAAGTACTTTACAAACATTGATTATACTTCAGCAGCACCGGAAGCCAGATAAAATTGAGAGCTTTTTTCTTTCTTTTTCCCTCCTTTAATAGGGTGTAGAAAATGATACCTCACATTGCTCTAACCCAGCACTTTCAAGGTCTGCCATCAGTATTTATGTGCTTAAATAGATGGCCAGATTCACAAAAATGCCAAATCGACCAAGCTTCTCCCGCCCTCCATATCTGTGAATATTTAGCTGATCTCATAGCAGATACCTATGATGGCTTGTCCAGGGCCACACAGGAACCAAAGCTGGAAGCAGAAATAGAAATCCAGCCTCATGTCAGCCAATCTGCTAATCTAATCAACAGGGCAGCTCTGCAGATAGCAAAGAACAGAGAGAGTTCTGGTAAGGCACAGGAGAGCTGTGGCATCAGGAGGTGACATAATGGCCCCACTGAAGTCGAGTTTTTACATGAGATTCTAGCCTTTGTCTCTGCTGAAAATGGGATTCCTCTTGTTTTCTTTTTCAGCCACTGTCAGTTGGATCAATGTTTATTCCTCAGCTGTAACAGCGCTGCAGTTTAAGCCATTGCCACCACACTGTGGTATTTCTCTTAACAGCTCTTGTTTGATATTCTTTCTGATAAAAAAACAAAATTAAGAAAAGCCTGACGATAACTTTCCTGCTTATCTCATAGCTGACATCAGGAGGAAGACCACATTATTACGTTTCTTATAGGAGGAGCCCATTTGCACAGATGAAGCTGCCAAAATACTCCTTGCCCAAGGTAGGTTGCTGCTGCTGGAATGCCCGTGTGTGCCTACAGATATTTTGATTGCACAGGAGGTCTTGAGTCCAACACAAGTAACTGCAAGATGACATGCAGTGAGTGCAAACAGCATTCTTCTTGAACAGAAGGTTTGCAAGCAAGAAAAGAGCTGGTCAAGGACATGAGCATGAATTGTAGGCAGATACAGCAGCCCATGTCAATTACCATTTCTTTCTGGTTAATTAATTAAGTTATGGAGGGGATTCTTTTTTTATTTTTAATCTTAAAATTCCCATCTCCTCTCGCTGTCTTGTATGGGTTGCTTTTTGTGCTTTACCTCATTAGTAGATTTTAATGGGAACCAAGCAGAAAGATGTCTTTGTGTGCCTGCTCTGTCTCTGGCCTAATTAACAATGGTGAATTAGCATTGGAGCTTGAAAGGATATTTCTGGCTTCTGAAGCTAAATTTTCTGAAAGACTTTTATAAAATGTTAGTTCCATTTTGAAGAAACCACCAATTTGCAGCTGGGGTCCTAATGGGTTCTTAACAAACACAGAGGACTTTTTTTTGGCCTTTTCATTCTTGATGTAGCCTGTCTTAAATGAGATTGAAGCTGAAATGTATCAAATGGTCTTATGGATTCTGTATGAGGTCTAACATCAGAAGACAAATGCATTCCCAGAAACTAAGCAGGGATTGTCAAAAGGGAAAAAGGAAAGTGCAAAGTCAGATTTTGTAGGTGGAACTGTTCAAAGGGATAACTTGGCTAATTTCACAACTGTGGTCTTTGATTCCTCAATCCATCAGGCCTGTTTGTAGTGGATTGATTGGGTTCATATAAAAAGACTGCAGCTCAAACCCCGCCCTTTGGTGCCTCACCTTCCCTACGCTGCTGCTCCTGCTCACAGCACTGGAAGCTTGCAGGACAATGGGGACTACACCAGGGATCTTAGTTCTGACACAGGAGACTTGTGGTCTGACTCAAAATTTTCAGTCACATTTTAAGATAGGTTGCTTTGAAACTTCCTGCCCAAGAAAAAGAAATTACTCTGTAAATTCAGATCAGATTTAAATAGGTATTATTTGAAAGAGCCCTTAGCAACAGAGTTGCATTTTAGGGTGGTTATTGTAAAAGCCAAAAAAAAAGTTATTTACAGCCAATTCAGACCATCTGTAGAAACACTGTTTGCTTTAAAGTTATTGTTTCCTTTAGCCCACACTGATTTTTTGTCCACCGTCTCAAAGAGATAACTGGAGAGCCAGGGAAAATGTGCTAGAATTAAATTACAGTGTGTTCCAGAGAACAGGAATTGGAGCAATATATTCATGTTATTTGACCCAAAGAAAGATGCTTTGTCACGATCTCGGAATATCTTCAAAGTCTGAAGAGCTGCATTTGGCTTGGAAGGAGCTACAGCAGAGCTGTGGCTGTCTAGGTGGCTGCTATCAAAGCAAAATAGTCACTTTAATGAAAAATGCACAGAGAGTTATGTTATTCAAGGAATTGGAACATACAGCTTCCTTTATGCCCAAATTCTCTTTTATCTCCTTCAGCTAAGAAAGAGGGGCCAAATATGGTAAGCAGTACTAAGTGACTTCTGTAATTGAAGATGGAAATATTGAGCTTTTTGTCTCTGTGTGTCACTCTTCCTGGCTGGAGGCATGTGACAGCAGGCAGCCTTGGCAGGTGATGCTGCTGCTCAGGCAGGATGGCCTACAGCAAATCAAACTAAAATATTATTCTTGTTGACACTGACAGCCTTGTAGCTACTTTGATTAAAAGCCTAAATAAACTCGAAACTCTGTTCCATTCAAGCAGATGCGTGCATATGAGCATACAGGTTGTGTTAACCCTGTAAATAGTCTTTATGGAGACCTGGTAATTGTTGCAGTGATGTTGGTCTGTGGGTTGATGCTGCCTGTTCTGTACCACAGCACCACAATGTGGGCTTTGTCACACACTGTAATGTCACTCATGATAATCACCTTAAATGTACACAGGGTACATTTACTCCAGTTTAGACCAATGCACTGGGCACATTTGAGAGTACTGAAGCAAGTCAAGCAATTTCTGTTTTAAAAAGACCTGTCTTAACTGGTATTGGGTCGAATAGTGATGGGATGGGTGCATATGGTACCTCTCTTTTAAATTCATCACTTCCTTTCAACCTCAGGATGCATATCCTGATGGAAGAAGCAATAACAAAAATAAATAAGATCCTTAAATACAGACCCTAAAAGGTCTGACAGCCTCAGTAATTTCACAGAAGGCAAAGGCAAGAGTCAGCATCTTCACAGATATTTCATAGAATATTCTGAGCTGGAAGGGACCCACAAGGATCATCAACTCCAACTCTTGAGTGAGTGATCCATATTTTGTGGGAGATTGATCCCACAAACTTGCTGTTAGCCCCATGCTCTGACCAACTGAGTAGCTGGCAGAATAAAACAGGCATTACACATCCCTACTGCTACTTAACTTGCCAGGAAAAAATGTTCCCTGACCAAATGCAAAAAGGGCAATTGTTTACTAATTCAGAAAGCCTTGGCTTTTAGTTGTTTGAGGAGACACCTGATCAAACTCATGCTACTTTTGTCTTTGCAAAGGCAAAAGGGACAGAAAGTAGAACTGCATATTAATGTACTTCCAGTATGTTCTGGAACAGAGAGAAAAAAAATCAGGCTTTCAGTAGAGAAATGCAAGTGGAGCCCCTGAAGGTGATAGCTGTTGGAGAAAGGTGCCTTGCTTAAATTCCTGCCCTCTTCCATCTCTGTAAGGAGCTTGTGCTATACCCAGATCAAGGCTGTCTTTTTGTATTATTCCTATCCACCCCCCAAAGAAATTAATCCCCACCCTTAAAAAAAAAATAAATATAATATGATATGCTGATTAATTTGAATTTTCCTGATGTGGAAATGAATTCCTGATGCTGCTCCAAGAACTGTTTCATGCCCATATACTAATCCTTTTCCATCAAAGCTGTGCATCATTGCTGAATCTGTTGAAGGCCATATTAAGAGGAAAAGTTAATTTATCCCCAAAGGCACACAGTCGTAATGCTATATATTTTTATTTTCTGCATTACATGTATTATGACAATTCGGTCTCAATCACTGCTTTCCTAGGCTTAAATTCCTTCAGGCTTACTGGAATCTTCTTTAGACTTCCATCTTACAGCATGCTCTGATCAAATACAGGAAGTATCTAGTGAATAAATAATTTGCTTCTTCAGCATTTGTGAAATTGCCTTTAGTCTTCTCTGCTGTTGATCAAGGTATCTTTTTATCCCTCTCTCCCAGTTTTTACAAAACTATTGAATGAAATGGTAAGGTAATGAAAAAGTACATTCACCACTAAAAACGAGTTTTACTTATAACTTCCATCTATGTTTAAATGGAGAGCCTGCCCATGTGTGCCCATATGCAGAAATTAACACTTGAGATTAGAGCTGTGCTAGCCAACGTTGCCTGAAGCACACTGGGAACACCTGCTGATGCAGATCTACCAGCAGATTGAACCAGGGTGACAGTCTGAGATGAGGAGCCACAGACAAACAGCTGTGGCTGTAACTCCTACTGGCACAGCTGGAGCTGAGAGGGGATGTCTGTTCACAGACAAAATTAGGACTCAGTGGGACTTACATTACTTTTCCTATTGCCTCAGGAATTAAGCCAATCTGTTCCTTCACAAAATGAGCCCATCTTCTGGGACATGATTTTCTCCAAGAAGAAAATCTTTACTTTTCAGGAAGAAAGTAAATCAAGTGCATGTTCATCCACTCTGTATTCAGATCTGGATCTGGATGAACAAGAAACTGTTTTGAATCTTAACTCCATGGTGAATCCACTTTCAAATTTATAGAGCAAATTTCTTCATTATATAGCTTTTTTATTTTTACATTACAAGGCTTCATCCGGAAGTATTAATCCTCACTAAAAAGCCACCAGACACTGAATCTTCAGAAACTATTATTAGCAGAAGGGAGAAATAGCATCAGCTTGCGAAGAGTATATTTTCTGATAAAGTTCTCAGTTTTGCATATAGAAAGTCCTGGCTGAGATTCATGGAAGCAGAATAACTTTGGGATATCTGCCCAAAACAGACTGAGCAGCTGAGTCTTCTGGGAATCACCTGGTGCTAAGAAATCTTCATTTCTTTTCCTACCTCCACAGATTTTTATAGCACCAAAGAACTCAGGATGCCTGTGCTGGGCAGATAGAGCCTGGGAATTTCATTATAACAATCTCTCTCTCAGTGGCTTTTTCCATTGTAATGGAAGATAAAATAAAATGGGTAATAATTTCTCCAGCCATTGAAAGATGGGATCAGGTTCAATAGTTCCTGTTTTTTCTTCACTTATGCAATCTTTTCATTGCTTCTTGCTTGCCGTAACACAGAGAAGGAACAGAGTAAAACAAAACCTCACTCATAATGCTAGTGATCTAATTACATTTCTGTTCTTAATATCTAGTGAAGATTAGGGTTATGTTTTTCTGTTTTATTTCCTGAGGTATCTGTTTAGTAGAGTGGTCCAGGTCCAGTGGCTCCAACCCACATTGTCATTAGAAACAGTAGGTAACAGCAGATGTTCCCTCATTAGTTCCTACTTGTATCAGGTCCTGAGCATATTTGGCTTCTGAATGCTGGGCAAGAAGCAGATGTTTCAGATGATCTTCTTTTTTTAAACCCCTACATTTGTAATATCTGTGATTCCATACTCATGAGTGGAATCACTCAGATGCTATATGGAAAAAAAACCTCCAACAAATAAACAATCCTCCCTATTCCCCAGACAAAATGTTCACTAAAATGAAGGTGTTGGTAAGGGGAGTGAAAATGCTGCTGTATAATGCTGTAGTGCCAATGTAAATGTTCAATTAACACCTCATCAGTTAATTACTGCTTTGAAAACTGGCAGAAGAGAGCTGGTGTAAAATATTCCTGGATGGAATTACCTGCTTACATTGCCCATAGACAATGCAATAGTAAAATGCAGCAGTATTGTCCGCTGAGTTCCCAGTTAAACTCCAGCCTAAATATATCCCTTGCTCCTCCCCAGTTCCTTTGGTGCCATTGGAAATGGCAGCACAGAGCTCCCTCGAGTAAGCTGCCTCTCTTTTCTTTCCCCAGGACATGCATGTTATCAGCACAGATGAGAATCAGGTGTTTGCAGCCGTGCAAGAGTGGAACCAGAACGACACATACAATCTGTACATCTCCGACACCCGAGGGGTCTACTTCACCCTGGCCTTGGAAAACGTCAAGAGCAGTCAAGGGCTGGAGGGGAATGTGATGATTGACCTCTATGAGGTATGTCATAACTCCAAACATCTCGTTGCTATCTCAGGAGCTCACGTGATGCCAGTACCGTTTCCTCCTTGCACGTCAGTCTCGTAAAATGCCTGTGAACAGCAAAGCCAACAAATGACTAAACACAGGGTTTTACCCTTTTACAGTTTACTGCTGTATTCACCAGCAGGTTCTCGGGTGAGGAACAGCTCATGGCTCTTTGATGCACAGGAAAAAGTGGTGGAATAGTTCATTCATTTGCTAAGAGGAACTCTGTCAGCCAAAATCCTGCTTGGACCTGTGTTGGCTCTATGGCTCTGAAAGCTCCCAACAGTCTCAGTGGTATCATCTCCAACTTTTGTTGCATTTCTGGCAATCTAATCTCTTGTTTTAGAAGTTAAGGAGAGTCTGCAGTTTTCAGCTCTCCTTGTCACCTTTCTCAGCTTGGACTATTCTGGGAATTTAAGCCATTATTGGTATTCCCTCTTGGGCTATCCTGTGAGCATGGAAACTCTCGTACCTCACTTTGATGCCCTCTTTACCCTGAGCCTTTCTCTGAACAAGTGTGCTTTGTTTAAGCTCACTGTAAAAAGCCCAATTTGCATTGTCTCCTATGACAACTGATCCTAAGATCAGACTTCTAGTGTGCCCTTGTCCATCTCTTGCTCTGCTGCCTGTTTTCCCTCTGGAGACAAGCACTCAGCTGAGGAGAAATTCAATCCTCAGCTGTTGTCCTGAGGGTCAGGTTTTGTTTTCAGGTCTCCTCCAGGGTATTTTCTGACCATTTAGAATAAAGGTTATCAAGTAGGTCTGAGTACCTTTGAAGATGCTTCCCATATTTCCCTGTCACTGTCCCAGTATTAGCTCTGCTCTGAAGTTTTCCTTCAGCTGCCCTCTGCTCGAGAACCACGTTGAATTGTCCAGAGAGCCCAAGAGTTATGCTGAGTTATCCAGAGTTGTACGTCTGTGCAGATGGACTGGAGGAGGATGGGCACTGCCATTTCAGTCATTTGGACATTTTTTACCATTAATCTCTCCACAGTGCTGGCAGCCCATGGAAAAACTGTTGCCTCTTATTACTGTCAGCTGGGGAAGCAGCTTTACTGCATTATGTAAAGGTGTCCTACATCCCAAGGGGTAAAGAAAATCTTTTGTTTAGTTTATTTGTCTGACACCACACAGTAACCTGGACTGAAAGTGATGGAATCAGACTTACAGCATCGTATCTACTGATTGTCTAGATAGAAGGAATATTGGCTGACATGGAACCTGGCACAAACCTTCCTTTCAGTTTGATGTTCTTGCTGGAAGGGAAGAGAGAGCCAGCCAGCATGGTTCTCTGAGTCAGATTGTTACAGTGGTCTAGGGGAAAATGGAGAGGAAGGCAAGAGAAGGAAAAGAAGCCATAGATAAATTAAAAGTAGGTGGAGAGATAGCCAAACGAGTCCTTCTCTGGTGGCAGCAGTATACTTAAAAAAGCATGGTCATTAAAGAACATGCCAGAAAAAGGCCTGTTTAATGTGCAGGTGTCTGTCTGTCAGGTGTTAGAAGTAAATTCTTCTGGTTGCATTGCAGTGAACGTGTTTGTGTATTTGTGTATTCCTAAATGGATTCTAAATCAAAGATAAATCTGCTCAGTGCTGCTAAGCAGGGAATTGCATTAGGTGCATGGACAAAATAAAAATTCTTTCATGGTATCTCCTTAAGTTCACAAAAAGATTGTCTTACTGACCACCTCCTAAAGTGAGGGGAAAGCTAAATCACTTACCACTGTGTCTAAGTGCCCTCTCTAGTTCCTGTGTCTGCCCAGTGATGTGATAAGGCTCTGTTGGAAGGGTCCACAGCAAGACAGTCCTGCCTGTGACAATCCATGACTGAAGTGATAACAGACTGTGAGGAGGTGTGTCTATAGCTATGGTATATGCCTATCACTCTGGAACTTACTTTTTTTCTAGCAGCATGTATGTTAGCTGAGAAGTATGTTTGATGTATGAAGGTGGTGATGGGGAGTGAAAAATGTCTCTAGAGTTGTGTGTTCAAGAGCCTTGTATGGATCTTTCTGAAGCTGTAGAGCAGCTTTAGTATCTGCACACAGTGCATTCAGGGTGGTGAGGATTCTGCAGCTCCTGTGTGGGAGCTTTCCTCTCTGACCACTGGTGGTCATGCATGTGCTTGCCTGGGTCTTTCTCTGTGATGATTGTGTGAGCAGCAGGGCTGAACAGCTCCCTGTGTGTGTCAGGTTGTGTATAAGCAATTGGTCTGTCTCTTCTGGGAATACACAAGCATGTGTGTGCAGCCTTCTTTTAAGATAAAGCTGTCCAAGACTGACAGAATAGCTTTGCTTCCTCATGAAAGTATTCTGAGTCCCAGCCCATGACTAGAATCATAAAAAGAAAAAAATTTCAGGATTTCAGAACAGTTTTATTGCCTGATATATAAAGTGCTCTTTAATCATTTATGGCCAGCGTTTCACAGGGACTATATAATAGAACAATTTTGGGACAGCAACAAAGCGAAGTACAACTGCAGCTATAGGCTCAAGCCCCTGGTAGTAAAGGCAGAACTATGTTATTTTTCCATCCCTGTCTATTCATGCAATATCACTGTGAGACAGGAGTACCATTGTCTTTTCAGGGTGCCTTTCTACTACAACAAAAAAATCTTGAATGCTTACTTGGGTGGGATCAAACAATCCAGATGGGAAATTGAAAAGGTTATCTTTTTTTTGCTTATATCAACAATGAATTAGTTAACTGTAATTTAAAGACTATTGCCCTTTATGGCAAGCCATGTCAAAGTCTTTATGAACTTCAGATGAAATTCAGGAAGGTGCTGTTTGAATGACTGAGTACATCACTGTGCTGGACCAAAGCACTGTGCACAAGTAGTCTCACAGCACATGATTAAACGTGCAATAAGGTCCTGCTCACTGGTAGCTGTAGCACCCAAATCCAGCCACATAATTAAATGGGTTGAGCTGGAAAAAGCTCTGAATCTGCTGTGTAACTGTTTGCTATGCCATGTCGTTTAATCTCTGTGAATAAAAACTTTTAATGAATGATTCTCTCTGCTAATTCTACATCATAAGCAGAGGTGAGGTGGATGACTGAACAGACTTGCTGGAAACCAAAAAGTTTCTCACTTTCCCCCTCCTTCTCCTGATTTCACTTCCCTTTTTATTGCGGCACTCAGATTGCAGAATGACAGCCTAACAAATTCATTCGCAAGCTGCAGCAGCTATTGGGCTATTGATTTTCAGTGTGCTGAGAAGATGGGAACATTCTGCAGTGTGAGTTGTGGTTTGAGGTTCACTTTTTTTCTTCCTCCTCACTGAGATACTTTTAGGCTTGGTTCCAATGTGAATCTGCTAGCATCATGTCTCCACAAAATCCTCCTGCAGGTCTGTGGATTTAAACTGTTGGGTAAAACACCGGGAAAAAGGGAAAAGGATGAAGACCTCATTGCCAGCTCTGTAACTAGCATTCTGTGTGGCCTTGCTCGAGTCACCAGTGCTTTGGTTTCCTCAAAACACAAAACCATAAGAAAAATACCTCTGGCCCCAAATTACCCTGTTGAAACACTGATAATTATGAAACACATTGAGATCCTTAGATAAAATGTCTGAAGAGAAGGCTGGATGAGAACATTGAACAGCAAGTTTTTGTGTGTGTGTTGCTGTTTTCTTCACAAGGGCAAAATTGCTGCTGTTTCCTGCTGCTGCTGTGCAAGAGAAAAATAATTGCCTGTACACGTTTCATCTTTCAGGGGGAAGGATGCCTACACAGTTGAGAGGTTGTCACTTTACAGATAATGCCACTGACATCTTGCCATGTTCCCATGATGATTCTGAAATGCAATATTTCTTTCCCATTTGTCATCTTTGCACCTGTGATGGCTTTATCTTTTCCCCAGCACCCCAGCTTGCCTTTGATGTACATTGGCAATTCTGGCCCTGACACTGACCACGCTGACAGAGCCATCACAGCCCTGGTGGGTTTGACAGAGAAAAAGGGACATGCACAGAACCTGCATGGACTTGATCTATTTTTCAGCCATGTCAATTTTTCCTAGGTAGCAGGGATAAAGGGAATGTTCTTGGCTAACAAGAAGATTGACAACCAAGTGAAAACTTTCATCACCTACAATAAAGGGAGAGACTGGAGTTTGTTGCAGGCTCCGCACACGGATCTGAGAGGAAATCCCATTCAGTGTCTCCTAGTAAGTACCTGAGGGGGGAACTTGGGGGAATCTTGTTCTACCAGGTAGCATCACAAAGAGTGGTGTTACCCCTCTCCATGCAGTGTAGCTCTTGGAGTGCGGTGCTTCAGGCTTGGGCTGCCAGGGGCTATTGCATTGTAATTTAGGTTAATTTAATTTAATTTCTGGAACAAATGTAAGCATTGTGGATCAGCTGCCTTCTGCAGAAAGGCTGAGTCCCCTGGAAGAGCAGGGGAAGCTGGAGGCTGTGTCTGGCAGTGGGTTCTCTGGACACTAGATGGGAGGCGAGAGCTGCTGTAGCTCAGAGCTCAGACACAGTAGCTGGAAACAGGCTCGAAAGAAATGAGAGCTCAGAGCAGCTTTCAGGCTGCTCTGTTGGCATTAATATTTATTAACATTCATCATTTTCTCTTTGAGCTCAGAAGTGAGAATCGACACATTCATCCAAATATATGTACAGCTTTGTGTTGGTGTAAATTGTATCTATCTCTGTACTTATTGATACAGATCCACATATAGCTAAGTCTTTAATCATCATTATATGCAAACACTTTCCAAGAGGGAAAGTGAAATACAAGTAATGTGAATAGAATTGGAGATCTCTATAAAATTAGAGATCTTAAACTGATTTTGACATATTTTTCAGCTGATACAATCTATTCACAGCAGTGGGATTATACTCAGAACCTCTGTATTTGGGTTTCTCAATAGCTTTCATATTATACTAATTCTAATATGGTTCCAGGCAGAATCAGGGACACTATTTAGATTGCTGCTGTCCTGTACTTGCATGTTGTTTTCCATCTAAAAAAAGAAAAAAGTTTCTCATTTTGAGGCATTAGAATCTGAATCAGCATTATATTTTGTAGCTGAATGCTACACTAATCTCTTAACTGAATGTCATGCACTATTGCAAGAGCAAAGAATAAATATTTGAAGCTGTTCAAATAATTGATTTTTTGATTGAGCCAAAATGCAAGCCCTTCATTTTCTGTCCAGTTTGGAAAAAATAAATAGGAAAGACTGGGTGACTAAATTTTTTTGGGTTTGTTTTATTCTTTCGAATTTTTAAAAATTGTGACTCAGTGACTTTTTAATTAGATGTTTCTATGAGGTGAAAACCGAAAAAGATGACATGCAAAAAACTTTGCAGGCATAAAGCAATTCAGTTCTTTGGAAGCGACTGCGTGCCTTTGTGTTTCAAGTAGATTGTATAATCTAGTTTTAACTTAAGTGAACATATTCAGTAAAAAAAAGGACATCTTGACCTTCTCAAATTATAACCAGTTTTATCAGAAACTCAAGACTTTTATTATGTGATATGATAGTATAATATTCTAGGGGACTGGCAAGGCAGAAGAACAAAAAAGCTCTGTGTGGCACTTACAGAACAGTTTGCAGGAATTGGGTATTTTATATACAAGCCACTGTGGCTGCCCATTATATAAGGAATCAATCATATATTTGTGTGTGAAACACAAAAGGACAGTTCTTATGGGGGGAGAGAGACTTAGGGCTCCCTTTAAGCCTTCCCATCCCTCCTGTATCTGCTACTATATATGTGGGCACCAGAGGATACAATAAACTTCATTTAAATTTAGACCAAATACACCTGAACAAGCTGGATTCCCTCGAGGGTGATAAATTTGAAGAAGCCAGACAAAGGATCAAGAGGAGGAGCAGAAGTATGGACACTTATAGGGGCACAGTAAGAACTGACCTAGAGAATCTCTGGGGATTGCACTTACATCTCTGGAGCTCCACTGTGCATAAACCACTATTTAAACATTATTTTGTTTTCATTTTGCTCTCTATGCAACTGTGTACTTGCTCTGAGAATTAGTTCCACCTTTGCAAGCTCAGTGGATGTTTGTCATGCTGTTTACATTTCTTAAGTGCTCTGTGACTTGAGCTGGAGTGCAGGAATTGTTCTGTCGTTTCAGGGTGCTAAGGGACAAATCCTCAATAACTTTAACCTTGTATCTCAGTCTGTCCTTTCAGGAGAATGGAAAGTATTTTATCAGTTCTGCCCTGTGGTAAAGCCAGAATATTTAGCTATGTTTATTTTTCCTCTTCCCCTATCATTGGGTACAAGAGGCCTCTTTCATTGTCTAAGCACTTCTCCATGTTTAGGTTTTCACCAGCTTTTGGAATGGCAGAGGAGCAGGAAACCCCAGCTGAGCATGCAGAGTCTCAGGTGGTCAACTTGCAAATTGGAAAGAAAGCAAATAGCTGAAATCTGAACTAAACAAACTTGTTAGGTTTTTACAGGAACAGGCAGTCTGCCTGCCATAGAAAGGGTGGGATGGAAGTACAGAAAATGTACCAAACCACAAAGTGAAATAGCAATTCTGCAAGAGAGACAAGCTATTTAAAAATCCCATCTGAGATTCACACTTAATGGTGGGGAATATGAAGGCAGAAATGGAATGAAAGCATTCTAGAAATTATAGAGAATAAACCACAGGGTTGAGAGTGGTAGGGAAGTTTTTTAAGCAAAAGCACTCTAAATTTACATTCCTGGATATAAATCAGAGATCCATAAGGGTTTTTTGCTGGGGGAAAATGTGGAGAAAAGGCATTTTCCCCTGCTCTAAGGCAATTCTGTTCCTTGTCAGTGTGACATAGTTGAGCATTTAAACACTTCACAAACTCCACTCACCTCTTTAGCCACTCCTGCATCACTAGTTTTATCTCCTTATGTCAGCTGCTCCTTTTCCTTCTAGACATAAGTGTTCCTGACACGATCCTGCTTTTCCTTATGGCACAGATAAGTGAATCCTTAGTCCCTCGTACATGTAGTTCAGCTCCCATCCTTGCTGCAGATACCAGTGCTTCCCCACTGCTGGTTTTCAGTGTAATTGTCTCTAGCAGTAGCCCAGGACTCAGCAATGATGCATGTTCCAGCTCACTGGCAAATGGGATCTGCCATTTCCCATTTCTGACAGTACAGTCCCCAGCCTGCGAGTGCAGTGCTGTGTGCTCTGTGCACCTGGTCTGCAGACCTAAACTAGGTGAGAATTAAAACAGAGGGACATAGCAGATAAGTTGTTGGCTAAGGAGATTAGGAAGGAATCTGGTTGAAGCACAGGGCGAGTCAGACAAAACCATCCCTCTACTGCCTCAAGGTGATTTTTCAAAGGGACTCTGAATTTCTTTGCATTTTTTGTGAGACAATTCTAAATAATGAGGAAGGAGGAAAACAATGAAATTCCATCTAATCCCAGGATTTTGTTTTTCTTGTTTATACCACTTGTATTCTAAGATGAGTATACTTAATCTTCAAGGAATAGCTGCCAAGGTATTTTATTCCAAAGATGCTAGTTTAGTTTGGTACTTACCATGTGTTTTGAAGTGGTTAACTGTGGAGCAGTTCTGCTTGGGAGAGTTAATCAATTAGCTTTCACATATGGACTTGTGGTTCAAACATAGGGCTGAATGTCAGAAGAATCTTGATTCAATTTTTGGGTCTATCTCCAATTTCCTATGTGACCTTGGGCAAGTCATATATTTTCTCCGTGCCTCGCTTCCCCAGACATCTGTTTATTCCCCCCCACATTTTGTTTGTCTTTTCCATAGGAATTTATAAGGATTTCAGGACAAAGACCCTTTTCTCATAAAGGGGGACATTTATGCCATCTACTACAGAGTATTTTAAGCTCCTAAGTGAGGTGTTTTGAATATCTCTCTTGGAAGTGTTTCTCTCTTTTCATCGCTCCTTGCTATTGCAGGTGAGCAAAGAACTGTCACTACCCCTGGGTCTGGGGATGGTGACCAGGATCATCTCTGTGTTATAATATTTTCTCCCACTTCTGATGAGGCACAGCCACTAATAGCTGGTTTGTATTGTGTCCTGCCATTGGAGACAGTTCAGGTGGGCTTTGCAGAACAGCCAAAAGTGGGTTTGTGGATATTTATGAGAAATTTTACTAAAGACTGATGAGCTTCCTGCGGGGGGAGCACGAGTGCTGACTTGAAAATATTATGAAGCAAGTACTGAACTCCAGCCTAATTGTAAAAACTGTGGCAGTGAGCAGAGCAATGGGCTATATCATGTGTGCTTTATCTTCTATCTAGAGTTTAAATGCTCCATGCTGTGGTTGCCTTTCCCTTGGTGGCCATGCAGCAGTTGGCACAGATGGGAACTAGGCAATGACAGGGAAACCCAAACCTGTGATTCTGGTCATAATAATGATTTTAGTAGTCTGTTGGTAACAGCAAAAAGGAAAGAGACAGCTGATGAAAATTCTGAAACCCAGTGAGATGTCTGTATGTGAATTAAGCTATGGGAGCTGGAGGAGGAACACAAAAGCACCAGCAAAACACAAAACAGCTGGAAAAATATCTGTGGATGAACTGTAGAGATGGAGAAGGCATACAGGGGAATGAGGAAGAGAATTCTAACACAGTCAGGATGTGGGGTGGCCATGGGCAGTAACTTCACATGTTTGGCTAAGAGTGGAAAGGTTAGTTTTCACACCATACCCAGTTGTCACTAGAGACTCTAAGCATTACTGCACTCCAGTAAGAAGTCATGCCACTAAAAAAACCATCTGTCTGCTTAGACAGATGGCCTGGCTTTTAATATTGGAGAGATACATTCCATTTCTATATGCTATATCTGTGAAATGAGATAAATTTGAAAGGAAACCTCTGGTAGCACAAAGATTGAATCTTAACAAGGTCTCATCTGAGTTGAGAATTGGCTGAGTTGCCATTAGGTTCTGTCTTCAAAATGCTGAAGTTGGCTTGGAGTATGTTAGTTTTAAAAATATGTTTTCTATTTAGTCTTCTCACAACCTATCAAAATGTAAAAGGAAAGAGTTCATGCTCTTGCAGTGCTTTTCCACTTCCTGCCTTCATGTCAGCTCAATTTGTTTTCCACTCCCTCCCGGTGCCCCGGGCTGCTCCAGCGGCTGCGCTCGCAAGGCTGTCATTTGGAGTTAGGCTGCTCAGTACATTCCACTTGGCAGCTTGTGCTCCCTGCTGCACAGCCCACATCCCCTTCTCCCATCTCACACAAGGGAGAGCTCCTATCTCTCCTCACCACCCTCATTTGCCTTTGCCAAAAGAACCCTGCCTTTCTCCACAGGGGAATTGTCATTTCAGTCACATTCACCTGCATTCAGATATTGAGACTCATATTCAGCACTGGGATGGGATGGGTACGTGGTCTTCCTCCAGTGACCTATGGGACGAGGTCTCCTACAGAGGAGGCCTGCCAGACTCCTGGGGCTGCAGATCTAGCCTTTAGGCAGCTGGTATTATTCAGGAAAACCTGCCTCCTTTGAGCCTGAAGGTCCCTCTGCACAGCCCCTCTTCCTCTTACAGAGCTGGGCAAGCTGAAGCAAGGGCTTTGCTCCAGTTCTATTCTTGTGTGATGTCCACCTTGATTACGTCAGTTTGCTTCAGGTTTTGTAGCCAGTATTTTTCCCCTGCTCCTCCCTTAGCATGTTTCATGAAGGGCTCTTCATGAGGTTTGAAAGAAAAAAAAATTTGGAAATAGAACAAGTGAAGGAAATGGTATTCAGAAAGTTTCAGAAATTTTCACATTACAAGATTTGGAGGGAATTGTAATGGCAGCTTTGCAAATCTTCCTGTCTGTCTTACCTTCTTGCTCAGCTGATTTATTCTGTACCACTTATATCTTACCTGAGTATCTAGCATACAAAATCAATAGTAAATAGGTAAGGTTTCCATGGATGTATTTTTATTGAAATCTTAAAGGTCACATCCAGATGGGTAACGAAGCTTTGCTTTAAACTTGAAGCTAACACTTTCCAGTTGTGGTACTTCTTTGTATTTGTTTCAGTGCATTTCACAACAGTCACATCTCAAAAAGATTTAAGAAATGGTATTATTTGGTAGTGTAAGTAAATGGTAAGAGTTAAGAAATAAGTTGTTTTTTTTTTTCTTGGCTAATTATGCTTCAGCATCACACCAGTGAGGTTAAATTGCTGCTTGTTTCAGACATAGCTTGGGTAGTGCTGCTCAGTCATTTCATATCTGCATCAATCTGCACGATTGCTTCTCAAAGAGCAGGAGCCAGGAGAGGCAGATACTCCTTACCATCACCTGCCCCTTCAAGCCTGGTCCCCTCCTTTGAGGAACAGCCTCAAAGTTCTGGTCCTTGGAGGAGGGTTTCAGCCTGGTGCATCAGTTTCCCACTGGGAATGGGTTGTGTCAGAAAAGGATGGCAAAGTGGCTGTGCCCATCTAAGGGTTACTGAACACAGTGATTATGAGGAAATACAGAAAGATGCTGTATGTTTCTAAGCCTGTAGAAACAGGAGAATGCATTGTTGTGCCTGCTTTTTACTTTTATTTCTCCTTTCTCTATAGCCCTATTGCTCTCTTCACCTTCACTTGAAGGTCTCGGACAACCCCTATACCTCAGGAAACATTGCCAGCCGAGACACTGCCCCCAGTATTATTGTAGCTTCAGGTATGAAACATTGAACAATTGCCTGTGTTTGACAGCAAATCTGCACAAACTCTGTTGTTTGTGGAGGGCGTTGGGTGGCTGTGGGGTGTCACACCACCAGGATTGGGAAAGGAGGCAGGCTGTCAAATGAAAATGCTTATGGGCCTTCAGCATGTCATATGCTTTTTATGGAAACTGGCCTTCGAGATGGAGGAGATCATGTCTGTGATCTCCTGTCCCACTCCTGTGAGCATAAGATCAAATCAGGACGTTTCCTTTGCATGTGGAGGTGTGTAGAGTTGTATATATTGGGTCTTTTATATATGTATTTTCAAACTGAGACTCCTTCCCTCTCATTTTTTCTCCCAAACCCAGAAATTCTACAACTGCAAAATAAATAAATACATTTATTCCCCTGATTTGCTCATTCTGCTCTTTCTGAGAGGGCTCCTTCACTAACCAGTGCTCATCTTACAGGTAATATAGGCACTGAACTATCAGACAATGACATCAGCATGTTTGTTACTTCTGATGCTGGGAACACTTGGAGGCAGGTAAATAACACAGAATCACTGGTTTAAATAAGAATCATAGGAAATGTCCTAAAAGTAGATTCAGTCTGTCACTTTTTGTTTCATTTGGTTCACGGTATTTTTTTTGCAAACCTTTTATAAAAGAGTAAACTTCCCTTCTCAAAGGTACAAAGATGTTCAAAGAAAAAGACTGAATATGCTGTTAGACTTCATAGAGCAGAAAATTATTTTTATTTTTCTACCCAGACTTTGACTTCAGTTTAACCCCATAGCAAAGAGAACAGAATAAATTATGAATAAAAAAGGGAAAGTGTTGCCTTTTACTGTTGTACATCCCTTATGCCAACCAAACCATTTTTCTGTTTGTCCATGACTATACTTACCCAAAAATCAAAAGTTGCACTGGTCTACTTTTTCTCACTTCAGCTGAGACTCATTCACCTAAGCTGAACTGTCCAAAGTTCATTGTCCATGTAAATGGATTATTTTGCCTGGCTCTTAAGCTAATGCAGAAAAATACAAAATTCAGTTTGCCTTGTTCCAAAGCTGCCTACCTCTCCATTAATTGTGGAAAGAGACTGGATGATGAAATTATATCTAGTTCCTAATACTTAATGGAGTCTCACCTGTTAAGAAATACCCTCTAATGTGTTTATCTTCAGATCAGGAAATTCTGCTATTCCTATTTTATAAATGGGATATCAAATCATTCTCAGACTGACAAATGCTGCTGTGTAGACTATAGAGCAGATGTTTGCAGAAAGTTAATACAAAAAAAGACACAGGGAGAGAAAATCTTTCCCTATATTTGATAATCCAAGAACCTAATTATTTTGCAGTGTTTGATCAGCTTCATTTTTCTGTCTAAATCAATTATTTGAGATGGGGCCAGACATGTTCAAACACATGAAATTCTTCTTTAAACAAAGATTTTTCATCAAAAGGAGGGAAACTGTTGATCCTTGAAAAGAAATAATATTTATAACTTTCTATCAAGGAAGGGAAGATTGAATTTTCCATGGACCTGGAAAAACTGTGGGAACAAACCTCCAAGCAATAAAAAACCGAGTCCAGAAATGATATCTATAATTTCCTCTACTTCATAATTTTCTTAGCACATAACTGTCCTGTGCATGATCCTACTTAATGAACTGTGACATTTTCTTGATGCTAAGGATAATAGGTTTAAATAAACAGGTTTTTTTGTTTTGTTTTTTCCTTTTTCTCAGATCTTTGAGGAAGAGCACAGTGTTCTGTACCTGGATCAAGGTGGAGTACTCGTTGCCATGAAACACACATCTCTGCCTATCAGACACCTCTGGTAATGACTCCATTTGTGCTAAATATCTGCTGTCCCTCTTTTCAGATGCCAGGAAGCAGGCAGTTAGTATGCATCCAGTCTTCTGCAGCTATAATCTAGAAAGTATTAGTTAAGATACTGGTAAATATTAAATCAGGTAGAGCTAAGAAATCCTGGAAATTATGGTAGTTTACATAATTTTGGCTTGTCCAGGTCTGAGATATCATCAGTGTAATTCCACAACACTCCTGATTTACCACAGCTTGGCTTCTTGCATTTGATTGTTTATAAAATATATATATCTATATATCTATATATCTATATATCTATATCTATATCTATATCTATATCTATATATATCTAGATATATATATCTATATATATATATCTATATATATATATCTATATATATATCTATATATATACATATATATATACATATATATATACATATATAATGTGGTTTATGCCCTTGTCTCTCATTAGATTACCAAAATAGTCCTGATTTCCAAAATTAATGATGAACTTGCCTTCTGTGTGGCAGGCAGCACTTATGAACCAGAATTTTGTTGAATAGATTCAGGGTTCTGTAAGTGATAATATAAAATTGTCCTTGCCAGTTAGCACTCCTGAGTGAGGAGGTAGAATGTAGCTCTGTGCTGTTTTGTATTATTTACTTCCACCACAGTTAGTGTCATATCAGAATCTGGAACACCCAGACCCAGATCTTAAGAAATGATGAGTGGTTTCAGGCTTTCACTTACACTTCCCACAGGGGGACTGCTGGTCTGAAGAAACTGTCATCCTCTAGAAAACTAACCTCAAAATGTTTTATATTGCGGACTCAAAAAAGAGATATTCAAAATAGCTTGTTTATTTTTCAAAAAATCTTACGCTTAGGCTACATTTTGCCCTTTGAGCATCAATCTTTAACATAACTGCTAGTTCCTAATACTTAAATATTGGCCATGGTTAGTGGTATGATGCCAGACAAGCTTGATCAATGCTTTAATTTATAATGCTTTCTCAAGAAAATAATTATGTAAAGGACTGAAAAATCAAAATTCAATAAGAGAAGCTGTTTGCCACTTCTCCATAGCAGCTGTAGGGGACTAGAGATTCCCCTTGAGTAGACTTGGAGAGTGAGGAAAGAAGACACAAATTCTGCTTTCTCCTCTAGGTTAAGTTTTGATGAAGGGAGATCTTGGAGCAAGTACAGTTTCACATCCCTCCCACTGTTTGTGGATGGAGTTTTAGGGGAACCTGGAGAGGAAACCCTCATCATGACGTAAGTGAGCATGCCATAATGATGCTGTGGAGGTGAACAGCACAACACAATGTGCGCACTGTATTTTGCAACAGTGGCATTTCTGGTTGGGGACCAAACCAAGGATGATCTGAAGCCAAGAGTGTGCAGTCTTCTGTTGCTAAATCATCAGTTTATTTGTGATACGACTGAGGGATTGGAAGCATGGCTCCGTGCAAGATGCAAACACATTTATCACTTAACTTCTCAGCAGGAAACCTGACTCCTCAAATTGAATGTGATATAAAGCAGAGTTACTGTTGACAGATTAATATTTGAAAGGAAAATAGTGAGGTATTTTTATAACTGTGTTTTTGCTGCTACATTCTTTTTTTTAATGAGACACAGGTAAGTGAGGACCTTCTTTTGTAAAAAATGAATGACAAAATTTTGCCTGGAGGCTGACTCATGAAAAATTATGTTTAGTTTCAATGTGGTATGCAGAGTTCTGCATGATGATAAATCTGGACTCACTATGCCAGAAACTGTGATATTTTATCTGAGATCAGATTTGTAAAAACAGGAAGTTCTGACAGACCTGTAATGTGCACAATATGTGGCTTGGAAACTAACCTGAGCTAATAAAGATGTATGAAGAATGTTCCATCAGGTTCTGATTTTCATTTGCATGGAAGGCAAATTGCTCCTGAAGGCCTTACTGTCTCCAGCACTGCATCAAGCCTTCTCTTGACTCTTCAAGCTGAGTCATTTTGGATATTGTCATAAGTGGGAGGGTCTTAGTGAATGGAATAAAAGCTACATGCAATTTTGCAGTTTCTGATGGGGTTATAGATATTTATCAGGCTAAGTTTCACTTTCACTTTGTCAGTCCAGTGCAAATGAGTAGGACTCTCTCTCTCATAAAGCAATTGATCTCTGTTGGAAATTGTGGTGACTTCCTTTCACTGTATGTTCTTCCTGCTGCATTCTGCAGTGTGTTTGGACATTTCAGCCACCGCTCAGAGTGGCAGCTGGTGAAAGTAGACTACAAGTCTATCTTTGATCGGAGATGTGCGGAAGAGGACTACAGGCCTTGGCAGCTCCATAGCCAGGTGAGAAGTGAGGGTGCTGGGATGTGACCTGAAGTAACTAATGATCCTACAGTTCAAGATCAGCACAATCCAAAATCTTTTCCTGTCAGTTTGGTGTTTCGGTGGGTGGTTCTGTTGCACTGGTGTGTTGGCCTCATATTGAGACTCTGTGGTCCCTGAAGGATGAAGGGCTGTCTTTTGGGTGTCATTCTGCACACAGGCAATTAGACTTAGGCAGACTTGAACAACACAGCAACAGCAGAAAAACTGCCACCGAGGCCTGAACTTCTTCACTCTTACATCTCCCATCCAATTTCCCCATCCTTATCTCCTTTCTCTCCTTCCTCCTTCTGCATCCTCAAGAGCCAGTGTCTTAAGACCATTCTACTTGTTTCACATTTGTTTCTCCAATTTCTGGCCCTCTCAACTTCATTTCTTGCTCACTTGTTTTCACCCCTGTTCTGTCTCTCTCTGCTGTGGGATTTGGGCACTTTTTTCCCCAATTCATTGGCCCCCATGCCCTGCCCTGTTCATCCTGAATGCAGCTGCTGCATCACTCTCTGAACCGTGGAAGACTGCCATTAAACTCATGCCCAGCAAGGTGAGGTACTCTGCACAGTGCCTGCACCTGCCATGGGGCACCTCCCCAAATTTAATAATGAATATGAAATGAAAGTAGCTTGACTCAGACTAGCTGCTCACACAAGGCACAATCTACACTAAAAATACCAGTTATTACTTAGATCTTTAGATGCTGAAAATCAGTACAGCTTCCTTGAAATTCAAGGAAGCGCAGCATTTTACACCAGTTGCTATTCAAGCCCTTCTGTTTCATGCTATCAAATCATCAAATCAAAGCCATGAAAAAATTTTCCACAACGATTTTAACAGCATAAAAGGTAATAAGTGAGACTCCACTGTATTTTGTTCTTTGCTTTCTTGTGCTTGCGTAAGCAAAAATACCAAGGATTTTGCAGTATTTCTTTGAGGATGTTGGCTTTGGAGCTTGCAGAACTATTTTAAGAAGGCTTCTGCATACTCTTGCCTTTTGAATTCTTTTCCACTGAGATTTCAAGGCTGAGCCTTATTCCCTAGACAGAAATATTAAGCAGGGTGCTGAAGATAGGAAGTTTTAACATCTACATAACAAGTCAAACCCCATAAAACCCAACTCATCCATGGGAAGTATTTACATAAACACACATTACTAGTTTCTACTGAATGAAACTATTCCCAGAGAGGTCAGACCAAAGAAATAACCTGCTCTGTGCCTCAGATTGTAGAGGAATCAGACCATGTTTTCAGTTGCTGTGAAATGGGTCTGTACCAAATGTTTATGGGCTTTGGAATAAATTCAGAGCTGAGTAAGATATATAAGTAATCTCAGATGATTTCTTAGTGTGTATTGGAAGAGTTGATTTAGTTTCAGTTAGAGCTTCAGTAGCTTTTAATTAACTCCAATGTTCTGAGATAGCATTTGGCTTCCCATCCTCTTCCCTTGAGTAACACCTCCCGTTGCACAAACCGGGTGACACAAATAGCCTGGTGGGCGTCAAAGAAATATTTCTGGTTCTGTTTCCAGGGAGAAGCCTGCATCATGGGAGCAAAAAGGATCTACAGGAAGCGCAAGTCTGAGAAGAAATGCATGCAGGGGAAATACGCTGGGGCTATGACCTCGGAGCCATGCGTGTGCACCGAGGCAGACTTTGACTGGTGAGCAATGAGCAGAGGGGCTGGGTGCTCTCACACAGCACCACGGGCATCCTCAGAGAGGCTGGAGGCTTGCAGAGAGTAGAAATCAGTAAATATGTAGGCATTGAAATGGGCTGCTCCCTGATAGTGCAGGTATTATGTTAAAAGAAGGAAAGGTGGAATAGGTGTCTGTAATCTCCTAAGGCTCCCACAAAATCTGTGCTGAGCAGACCATTTTCCAGGTCACAGCTCTGTGCATCAGTAAGATAACAGGTCAGTTTAGCACATCTAACCTTAGAATGACCAAAAATGGCTCAGAGTAGTCTGAAGACATATAACAGCATTTTGTAAAAAATAAAATAATTTCTTAACACATACGTATATACGTGTATATAACACATATGTATATATGACTAAAAGTAAATATATGCATATGCAAAGTATGCCTTCAGCTTCTAGAATCAAGTATCTAGGAAATTCCTGGGCCGTTTGCTGCATCTGGCCCATCATGTTTTACTGTCCAGCAGACATTGCCTTCATGATTTGAGTTAATCGAGTCCATTGGTGAGTTATGCATGGTGTGATACAATCTTCAGCTGCTGGTTTCATTTCAATATTACTGCTGACTCACAGCAATTTGCACAAAAAAGGCAGGGAACCACGTTACTGAAATCTCTTTCTTACCTCTTTTCTCCAAGTCTGCAAGTTCCTCAGTATCTTGGATGAGAGAAATGTTGGCTCTTTGGCAGTGCTGATAAACTCCCTTTGTGCCTCACCCACCCAGATCTATGTCATGTTACTAATTAAACCCAGAATCTTCCACGTGAATCCTGAAAAGGTTAATCTCATCAATATTTTGTATGGAAATTTACAGCGTTTCACTTCTCACTTGTCCATAAATACAGAATATTTTTTCTGTGTAAAATCACAGACTCGCAGGAGGCAAGTTTATGTTGTGTCAAAAAAAGTCAATCCTCTTGCTCCAAACAATAACAATTATGAACATATTTTGGCACAGATTCTGTCAATAGATTTCTTGATGATTTCTTCATTTTCCATTTAGTTCTTTTCTAAGGAGAAGATCTATGTGCAGTTCATCATGCAGGTGTCCAAAGCTCCTGGATTTCAATCACTCAATATTTCTTTAGTAAAGTAAGAAAAATAACAGCCAAACCAAAAACCCCAAACAATCATTAAAAGCAAGGAGATTCCCTGAAGATTTTGACCCTCTTATAGGACATGCAGTACAATGCTGAGCCAACCTCATGCCCTTATAAAATAGTTGATGCAATTGACTCACAGTCAGTCCATTAGTGTTTAAATCCCTGGCAGTTGTAAGGGACACACATACCTAAAACTTCTGATAAAAATATGCTTTCCTTCCAGCACTTCTCCCTGAGAATGAATATATTTATTTCATTAAAATTGACTGTGTGGCTTGCCACTATAAAACTTTGTTGCTAGGTACAGAACAAAAGTACCACAGTGACATTTGCCGGTGGAAACATGCTTTTATTTCTTAAATGTTCACCTCAAGGAAACTTTCTCCAAAGGCTCTGCTGGGCTGTGGGAGAATCTCTTAAGAGAACGCTTGGATGATTTGGAATGTCCAAGAGGTGCTCAGTTCTCGTGCCTGAACAAGTCACTTCAAATCTGTTGGCAGAGGCAGAATTAGGACCTTTCTGACCAAGAAGGACCTTTCTCCTTCTCATGGAATTAGTATTGGTTTAGACCAGGCTGTTGTTGTCCCCTCCAGTTCTCCCTGAGCAAAAGTTACTCCTGCAGTCCTCAGACCTGGGTTTCTACATTATGCATTTCAGCTTCCTTCCCTACTGCCTCTGATGAAAAAAAGACTGAAATATTGCTTTAAGCATCCAGTTCAGAAACATTTACCAACAATACTCATCAGGAGCATAATATTACATAGATATGCTGGAGAAGGACAGAAAAGGAGAAAAGAAAATAGCAAGAAAAAAAGCAATTCTGTCTGCTAAGAAAGGCAAAGCTGCTGCTGCACTGCTGTGGCTTTCAGTGCCTGCCTTGTTGAACTCTGCACGAGGTTTCACTGCCAATTCACACTGCAGAAGTTGGAGGGAGGTTTGGATGATACCAGGCAATGAGTTCTTGCTGTGGAAGGGTGCCCTCTGTGGAGTTCTTTCCTTTTCAGGAAGAAAAAAGCACTTTCATCATCTTCAGTCATGACATTTCAGTACTTTGGAATTCTCTGTTTCTTTATTTCTTTTTTTTGTTGTTGGGCAATTGAAGGAGATTGAAAGGGACAAACATGTATCCCCCAGATAGGGAGAAGCTCCTTAGCTGCCCACACTTGATTTTTCAATCTTGAAATAAATTGGACAGCTTTTTATATTGTCAGTGGCTACAGAACCTATGTTTGTACACAGAGTTGAAGAAAGCAACAATTCCTGTCATTGTGCTGTCGTTGCTGTTTAAACACTAAATTTGTATGGAGAAAATCTTATTATCTAAGCTTGTCAGAGATTGGAGTAAAAAATTGTATCTCTGTGGTCAGGTAAAGTGAAAATAAGTGTTATTGCTGTTAATCCTGCAAGTCTTCTTTGATCAGTTCAGGGCGAAAATACCAGTTATAAAAGACATAAAGATTTTGTGATTTTTTTTTTTTTATTTTTTCTCCTTGTAACCTGACAGAACTCCAGGTTCCGTATGCAGCCCATTGGTACTCCTTTCTCAGGGAAAAGGGCAGGTTTGTTTGTTGTTTTGCAGAGCAGGATGGAGTGCCATTGGAAGGGGCTGTGGTTCCTTGGCAGCCGGGCTCTGCTGCCAGCTGTATCCCGGCTGGAAGCGGGCAGGGGCTCCGTGCAGGGAATGAGGCTGGCAGCCAGAGGGCAACCACGCCTCAGGAATGGGGACCCTGCATGTGCAAGGCAAGCCTGTCCTAGCAACGGCCTAGAAACCAGAATCCCCTTCTTCATTTAATTGATTTGGGTAAATGGATGACGCCGTTACTTGGGTGTTATTAAAGCATTAATTTACCCGGTTTCCTCACATTGTGTTCCTTCCTGCCGTCTGAGCGTTATTACAGCAATATCTCTTTGGCAGAAACACCTCCTAGACACAGACAGAAACCTTTGGTGGTGTTCATCCTTCAGCCACCTGTCTCCCAGGTCCTTTAACAGGAGCTTTGAGCAGTGTCTGACTGTCAGCCCTCCCTCTGAACTCGCTGTCATTACCACTGACGGCTTCTCCTGTCAGCACTGCCGTACCTCACACCTTCAGGGGAAACATGAGCCTCTTGGTACTGCTGCTAGTGGTTTTGGATAGCCAGAGAGGCACAGAGGTGCCTTACTGCAACTGGGAATCTATCCATTTATTTCACAGATGATATCAGCAAGCATCTGGCTGGCTCTTTTTATATTCCCTGGCACTTAAATTACAGCTCTGCCTGCTGGGGTTAGTTCCTGTGCTAAAACATCAGAGTCTGCATCAGGAGGAACTGTTCTGCCAAAGCCTGGGGAGGCAGGGGACAGACACTGAGTGTGGTTAGGTTCTGCTGGCTCTGTGTGTCACCAGCCATCAGGTCAGTGCAGGTGCTGGTGCTGAAATACACCTACGTTTGCACCCTTCGGTTCTGGGCTCGGTTAGCTAACAAATAGTAATTTAGGATGAATCTTTAGTTCATTTTGAGTGCTTGTAGAAAATGCAGATTCACTGTGTAAAATCTACAGTGCATCTCTGCATCTTTAAGGGCCGGGATATCTACCAGGCATGGATTTACAGGAAGGATTCTGGGGATTTTAGGTTCCAAATTAATATAAACTGGTATAGCTCAACTCCAAATACTGTGATGCAATTATAATTGTACACTCTTGTGGATCCACAGTTCAAACTGTAGCTGAATTCATCCTTCTCTGAGTTAAATCCCATATCAGGTCCTGTAGAACTGGGAAACAAGCACAGCTCCCCTCTAACACAAACCTACACTTGAATCATGGTTAAACATTAGACAATGGAATTAAGTGAATAAAAGAGTAGTGAGACTTTTCCACTACTGTGGCCAAAGTTATTTTTTTCACCAAGGCTTTTGGAAACTGTGGAAAAAACATGACTATTTCCAGAGATAGCCCAATTCCACCCCATTTAATGTCCAAAATGTTTGGACAGCACAGCATGCAAAAACACAAAGAGCATTGTCAGCTTCTGGCATAGCTGAACTTAAGGTGAAGCTCTTAATCTTATGGAATTTATATGATTACATAATAAGTTATATCTTGATTTTTAGAAGCTATGAACATGGCAATCACTTATCTGAATTAACTGGTTATTTCTATATCTTAAAGCAGTAGGATTTTAATAATTTTATGTGAATTAACAGCTCTTCCGAACAGTATGTTTGTCAGGTCTTTTTTCAAATTAGAAATTTCCTTAGGGGACTTATTTTCTTTGATTATTGCCTATGCTGAAAATAACATAAGAAAAATGAATTCATCATGATCATTGAGCAGAGATACAAAACGTCTGGAATGAATTTGTATCAAATTACAGAAAATAACTTGCAAGTCTACTTGATTAAGACAAATAGGATTCCAGTTTAAACCAGTAAAAGGGTAAAACCACAATCAGTGAGAGCCACCAGACAGGCTGCTTCACACTGATAAAGCAATCCCTGATGGCAAACGCTCCACTCCTTTTTAGGAGATACATTATCTGTGTCACCTGAGTTCTTTTCAGGCAGGCACAAAATATCATCAATATATGCAAATTCCAATTCCCAGTTCCCAGGCAATGACTCGGGGAGCTGATTGCAGGCTGAGGCTGATGCCTTCCCCACCTCCAGGCTTTGCTGTGCTGGCTCGTGCTATGGACATCCAATTGATGGTAACGCTTCTTGATTGCTGCAAAGCCTGTTGTGCCAAATTGTAGGCAGCAATTTGTTGTCAGCATCAGTGTTCTGCGTGCACCAGCCTGTAGCCAAGGAATTCATTAGATTCCAAGACTGCGGAGGTGAACGGGTGGCTGCTGCATCTGTGGAGGGATTGGAGAAGCAATTCATGTCATTTACTGGGATGATATTTCTGTAGGGCCTTAATGAGCCAGATGATTTGCAAGCCTGAAAACAGCACTGTGAAACTTCTGGGCTTATAGCTCTTTCTGCTGTGGAAAATCCTAGGATTCCTTTCTCTTGATTTTGAGAAATACAACCCAAGTACAGTCATAACTAGTTAAGTCCAGCTTGGCTTGCCCAGATTTACAGGTAGGAATAGGAAGCAAAATAGCAGCTTGAATCTAGACATGTGCAGAGTAAGAAATCCCAGACTACTGCATCAAATTGGATTGTGAGTACTGATCCCCTCTGAGGCAGATTTCACTGTATTAGTTTGTTTTGTTTTCACCTGATTACAGAACACTGTGTGTGTACAGTGTTACAGCTTTTTAATTAGAGTCACACACGATAACTTAGTGCTGCAGAGTGTTTACAAATGAATTACAAAAATACAGGAGTTCCATTTGTATGCAAATATTTGTTTTCTCCAAGCAAATCAGAATGGTATTATTCTTCATTACAAAGTGTATTCTGCAGCTATAGTGTTCTTATTCCAACAAGGATGATTATAGAAGCACATGGCAGTGGGAGAGTTGGCTGGCTGATGCTTCCAAAGCAATTAAGCAGCACTGAGTTGCAGCCATCCGAGTAAATAGATTGATGAAAATTCAGTCAAAAAAAATGAGGAAAAAAACGTTTAGGTCATCTACTGCATTGCTGTTTCCTGGAGTATGTTCTCAATTACTTGCTGTAGATACCCCAAGCACCACAGCTGCCAAAATGTTCCATTGGAACAGTCATGCAGTCTAATATATGTTTAAGAGTATTCTCAAGTGATATGCAGCATTTTCTTTTGCTTAATGTCATCTTTTTAATTTTGCCATTTTAAGATTGCCTCAGTGCATCTTTCTTTTCTTTATTCAAAATAAAAAAGTTGAAGCAGAAAAGTGGTGACTGAATTATTTTCAGTGACTTTTCTTGATAACCAGTACAGAAGACGTAACAAAAGGTAAATCAAATTATTTCCTTTTTTTTCTTCTTTGTCTCATATCTTAGACCAGTATCAAGCTTCTTAACATTGTTTGCTTGTCATTCTGTATGTTTTTTTAAAGTTATCAGGCTTTTTCAAGACACTTGAACAAAGTCTTCCTTAAGTTAAACACTCTTCTTGTTGTTACTGTTTTTCTATAAATATCTCATTGATGCTCTGGGAGGTCTCACCCTGGCCATGGACTGATGGCTGTCTTGTGACAGCTCTGGGAGGAGCTGGAGCAGGGTCTCCACTAAATCTGATCAGGTTGTTGGGGTTCATCCATCTCTTGTTCCTTCTCTCTGCTTCTTTACATACATGTGCAAATACAAGCCCTTAATCACGTAGTCCAACACTGCCCTATTCCTCTTTTCTTGGAAAAACAGGCTACTTGATACCAAGGCATTAAAGACAAATAAGTAAAAAATACTTTGCAGAAAAGTGCCTTTTTAAGATCAAGGATTGTTGTGCAACTGGAATATTGGAATGGAGTTGGTGGACTCTGTATAGCAGTTCTCAGAAACGAGATCCCATTACTTTTCCATTCTGAGCTCTGGAGAAGGCTTAGTAAAAGGAATAAGAATGATTATCCAACCAAGCAGTCCTCATTACTCAATGGCTGGAAAGTAAACCCACATGTGAATGGAATACTGATTAAAGAGGTTTTCTGTTTGTTGGACTTATAGAGTCTTTGTTTACTTGGACTCAGAAACAATTTGAAATGTTTTTAGTGAAACCGAAGCAAATTTAGTCATAGCTAAACTCAAATTGTGACAAAAGATTAAAGTTTGACTCATTGTTTCTAACATGTGATTTTTGGTAGCATTTCCTCTTCTTAACAAAAAGAGAATTGAAGATCACAGAATTCTTTCCCATTACCAAATATGCTGTTTATGCCTTCAGGCAAGAGCTCTCTCAGGGTTGTAAATTTCCCTCTACATCCTGTGTGATACAGTTTCCAAACGCAATTAGCTTTTTAGCCTTCAGTTTTCTAAGATGTGACTGAGACAGTGGTAATTTAACTTAGCTTAGATTCCTGGTGGATTTTTGTTTTTGTTTCTCAATTTTTGTTTTTTTAATATTTGAGTCTAGATTTGATCCTGAGAGGTACTGTTAGTCTGTGGAGAGAGAACAATTGATGCAATACTCATAAACTACCTGCTCTGGTGCTTCTTTTTTACTGGTATTTATGGAATATAACTGCCCCAATTAATAAAAGCTGAAGTGGAATGAAGAATTTGTTCTATCAGTAAAAATAAAACCAGAAGTCATAGTAAACAGACTTGTATTAATAATAGACAGCATGAGCTAATACCATGTTTGTTCTTTTCTGGTTTTATGTGATGGTTTCTTTTAACATTGCAACAGTGATTATGGATATGAACGCCACAGCAATGGCCAGTGTTTACCAGCATTTTGGTATAACCCATCCTCTTTGTCAAAGGACTGCAGCCTTGGACAGAGTTATCTCAACAGCACTGGGTAAGTGGCTCACCAGGCTTTATCTAGCTAGAGCACCCATATGGATTTAACCCAGTGGAAACCTGGAAAACAGGATTACTCCTACTGTAGGTGTGTCAGAGCTGGCTGAAGCCCCTGGGACATCATCATCACCATCACTACCTTTGTTGGGTTGCACACCTCTCACTCCAGATCTCCATCATGTATGGGCCAGGCTTTTCCTTGAAAGATGATGCCTTAAGGAAATTTGGGGGAGACTGTAAGGCCAAATCATTAATGTTTCTGAAAAGACTTCTCTTAAAATCCTGTGTGATCAGGTGAGGCAGAAATACTGAAAGGTAAATTAGTGGAGAGAGATGAAACTGATGCATATGTGAAGTTATAGGTGGCCAGCTAGCCTGAATGCTGGCTGGTCTTTGCCCCTCTTACTAGTCAATGGAGGATGTAGTTTAAGTTAAGGTCCTGGCAGACTTCATTTATGATGCAAGTGATTAAAGCAAGAAAAGCAACCCAAGCTGTGTTTGGAGGGTTTGTATACTGAAAGATGGGCAGAATTTGCTTTTTGCTTCAATTCTTATTTTTCTAGCCTTTAAGGGTTGCATCTTTAGAAACACTTGCCTCACAACTGATGAGAAGTGGAGAACATGTGAGAAAAGTTGTTAAACTTTGTCCAACAGTGTAATAATTGAATACAATGCCATACTCTATGTGTATATCATTTATTTATAACTTTATAGTTGCTTAAATAATTTTATGGTTTAGACAATTTATGTACCTTATATGATGTCAAGATATTTTGTGCAGGAAATTATCACATGCCATTAACAACAGTATGAGCTGCTGGTGTGCTGGGGCACATGAGGAACTCTTGGCTGAGCCAAACGCTGAAATCCATTTGGGAATCTTCGTTTTCTAACCATCTCCTCAGTCTAAAGGAACCTGTTCCCAGTCATCCCTGCTGTGCTCCTTGTCAGCACCTGGCACGGCTTTCCCCATCCCTTTTCAGGTACAGGAAGGTTGTTTCCAACAACTGCACGGATGGGGTTCGGGAGAGGTACACGGCCAAGCCCCAGCAGTGCCCGGGCAAACCCCCCCAGGGGCTGCGCATCGTCACGGCCGACGGGCGGCTGACGGCCGAGCAGGGCCACAACGTCACCTTCCTGGTGCAGCTGGAGGAGGTAGGCTCTGCTCTGCTCACTCATCCATCACATTCATCTGGGAATCTGAGCGTGGCTCTGCCAGGCAAGGTCTGCAAAGAGACGGGGTGGTATAAAGCCGGTCGTGGCCAGGACGCGGCTGGGTGGAGTTTGCGCCAAAATGTATGGAGGTGAAAGGGTTGTCATAGTATTGTGGTGGCTGGGATCATGTCTGAGAGAAGCTGATAAAAACTGTTTAAAATTCCTTTAATTTGGGAATTGCTTTAATTTGGGAATTTCACAAGAGAGCTGAAGACTGCAGGTTTGAATTCTGATCCCCTGCCCTTAACGGTGTTTTTTGTTTCCTGCTGTTTTTTGACACTGAATTTCCATAATTATTTTCCACTGACTTTTAACCAAAGATGACAGATAGGCTACACATGCAGCTGGGTCCTCCTCACACAACTTGGTACATATTGTTTAGGCATTTATCTCAAGATGTCCTCAGCAGGACTAAGTCTGAAATTCATTGCTGTTATGAAGGTGATTTGGACATTGATCTGTGTTTTTGTTGTATCTGTAACTTGGTATTTCATTGTTCTTCTCCCTCCATTCCAGAATCCATAGGAAAAAGTATTTAAATCTTTTCACCTCTTTTTTCTTTTCAGCACTTCTTTATCTGTGTTTAATTGCAAGTGCACAAGCAGGAACATTCACAAATGTTTTTTTGCAGTTTTTTCTTTTTCCCTAATCTAATTTGATTTCTTTAAACTTCTACCCCTTTTCCTCACTTACTGGCCAATAAATCCTAAAACAAGTATGCTTTAACACCAAGGGACAGTGCACATTCCTTTATAGTGCAGAGTATTCAAGTGACATTGTACATCCCTTTTTAGTTTATGGTTTAGAGTATTCAAGGAAATTACTTCTGACCGTCACCATAGTAAATGCCATCTGTGAGGAAAGAATTTTTTTTTTAACATCTCTATTATTGATGCTTTCCCCAGCAAACAGGTGTCCTGATTTGTAAAGGCAATACCATAAAACATATCTAACCTGAAGCAGTTTTTGACCTGAATGTTTATTCTTTCCAAATTATGGTCACTTTATTTCAGTGCTGACAGTCATATAACATAGTTACTATGATGCTGTAATAACAGTGTGAACATATAATTTCATCTGGCTAAATTATTGATTCCTGAATTTAAAGATGAAAAGGAAAAGGTCCAAAACAGAAGTTAGTCCCCAGGCTTTAAAATAAATTAAAAAAAAAGTAAAAAAAATGTGCTCTTTTCATCACCTTTCTCTTCTGAGCAAAGTTTTGAAACAGACTGGGAGAAGGAGATGGATAACCTGAATACTCAGTCACAAAACTATCAAAGAATTATGCCAATAGTCAGAGGGAGAAACAATCACCCACAGTGTGGGAAACTCAGGAGATATGTCCTGCTCTTTCTTCTGCGAGTGCTTCAGCTCATGTATCGTGTAAGAGAACCCTGACCACTCGGTCATACAGGGAGCTGCTGTGCATTGTTCTGTCTCTTTCATTCATTCTGATCTTTTCTGGCAGCTCTGCTTCAGTGTGCACTTCCAGAGTCTGGAAGCAACACCTTCTCCAGCATGAGATGGTGCCTCTCTCATGCTGGGTGTCAAGGAGTACAGAACGGATGTTTTGATGAGTGAGTGAATCAGTTCTGAGGAGATCTAAAGGCAGCTCTTCTTCCAGTGTATTTGATAAAGAAGAGGTTAGGAATTGCTCTGAGGGCTGGAGCAGTATTGATCAGCCTCCAGCCTTTCCAATTACTCTCCCTGTTAGATGAATCTTGACCTCCTGCTCCTAGATTTGTCAACTTAAAGAGCAACCAAAAAAACCTTTGGGTGAATTTTACCCAGTCTGGCAAAGACTTTGTGTGACTGTTGCAACAAAAGAAATGTTCAACAAACAGGAATATTTGTCCAGTGATGTGCAAGCTATAGGGAACTAAAATTTAGTTGAAGCAACAAAACTGTGTCTAGAGGTTGTTTAATCCAACCTCACTTCTCAAAGGGAAGTTCCTTTCCTTTGCATACAAGGCAGAGGTATCACAAGACAAGAATTTGCCAGTTTCTATTTAGTTCTGTCCTGCACAGGAATATATCACAGTACAATCCAGGATGTTCAGTATCCAAAAAATCTATGCAACTTCATTTTTACTGAGGGGAAGGCATCAGGAAATTTAAAATGAGCTGGATATGTCACCTTGCACATCTTTTCCCCCAAGAGTGTGTGAAAAAAGTGTGCCCTATTCAACCCTTGCCTCCTGGAGTGGTGGGCAGTATTTTAGAGTGCTACATCATGGTGAGGACCCCTCCTTTAGTGTGAGTGGCAGCTGATATCTTTTAGGGTGTGAAAAAGCAATGGCCTTTCCTTTTGCATCTTAACATCTCCTGTATCCCTCTGAGACAATTTGTTTGAAGCCTTCAAATCTGCAGAGCTGTTTCATACACTGCAGCCTCCCAGCTCTCTTTTTTCATGTCCATGTTCCACTTGATCTGCAGGAAAAAGAAAAGAAAAAAAGAGAAGCTGGTGAGCCCAGGTACAAGAGTTTGTTTGAGATTTGTGCTCCTGTTATCTTTCTGCTCCATCTAGGGATCCACCTGGGTTTGAAAAGAGAAACAGACTGCAGAAGCAGGTTCACTGGAGGCCCTGAAAATTCACTGCATCTGTGTAGTGGAGCAGATTGCTAGGAGGGCAGGGAGAGACAAATGGCAGCAGTAAAAAGCTGATGTTTTCACTCAGGTGTGGGATTTGGGCACAGGAACCACAGCACAGCAGTTCCTTGTAGAGCTGGGTTGTGCCTGTGGTGATGCTGAGAGCCACGACTGTGCGTTCCGACAAAAACACAATGTGAGCAAAAGATGCCCCAAGAGAAGCCAGGACAAGGCATTCAGAAGTGCTCTGCTATTGAAGAAGACACAAAAGAAAATCATCACTGAAGTCTGTGCCAGTGGAGGGAGGGCAGGAAGCAAACACAGGAGCACACTGAGCATTGCTGATTTCTGAGAGCTGGGGTTGTGGCCCAGTTTCTCTAACCCTGACTCACATGAAATTTTCCTGTGAAGCATTTATATCTGGCAGCATATAAATATCATTAAAAGCAAACCCAACCAACAGGTCATATGGAAATCATCTGAATGTATTCTTTCAAACATGATCTAAGTCTCCTGTCACCTTTTAAAATTTCTGTATGAATTCCTCTAAACTGCTTGCAAGGTCACGTTGCACTTAATATTTATGGTCCCATTATTGGAAAGGTTTGGCCAAGTTATTTTTCCAGTTAATCTGGGTATAGTAATCATGATATTTTCAGTGGGTGACAATAGTCAGGAAGCATCAGTATTGCTAATGATCATGTATTGCATTTTTTGAAGTATTTTGGAAGTGTTTAATAAGCAAGAAATTGTACTTAAGCTGGGAATTTTGCTTTTAAATTTCCATGAGATAAGAAGAATGCCAACAGCATTATTGTCATTGTGTGAGAGCACATGAGAGAAGTAGTTATGCTTAAAAGCAAATTTTTTGTTGCCTAAACATGCTGCCAGTTTAAAGGTTAATCCTTTGTCCTGGCCTGGGCTACATGCACAGACCTAGGGCTGGTAGCCCTCACACTGCAGCATTTAATAAGGGTCATTTCTCAGCCTAAAAACCAGAATATTTCCTTTATTTTTGGGCAGCAGCAGAAGAAAACCAAAGCACGAAGTTACAAAGACACTTTTCCTACTTAAGTTATTCATCCCAATGTCCTTGTCCTTGTTTTGCTTCTCTGTTGTAGAAAATAGAGAGATTTTATTAAGTGTGTGTTGCTTCTGTGTGCCTTTCTGATCACATGGCATCGTAGGTCTCTTGCCTGTCACAACCATGATTGTTATTTGTATGCTGGAGATATTTGTGTGAACATCAGACACTTGTGCTGCTGTACTGCTTCAGCAGAGACTGAAAGCTGCAGCCTCCAGAGCAACGCTGTTCAGCACAATGGCTTTCAAACTTGCTTCATCTGATTGCTCACACGTCTTTGCTGAGGAAATGGACGGTAAAGACATTCAGGGCAGCAAGGTTCAGGGCTTTGACTGTTTCATTACAGATAATTCACAGAGAAACTGCCTCCTCTAATTTATTTTTTATCTTGATAAAATGACAGCCAAAAATCTTTGACATTCCAGGTCTGCCTCAGTTCTCACTTGGCAAAGTCACTCCACTGGGAGTAGATTTCGGCTTGCTTTTAACTGCTTGCTGCTGCTATGTGATGTTTGGATTAGACTAATGTGTGGGGAAAGCTAATTTGTTCCTACACTTCAGGCCACAGGCTAGAATTCAGGCAATCTGAACTCATTCCTGAACCACACTCTGAGCTCCTTCTGAATGACCTTGAGTAAGAAACTCAAACTTTCTGATGTTTTATTCCCTCATTCGAAAATAGAGCTTTGCTTTCTGCCTCATACCCCCCATGCCTTGCATTTGTGTAGTGATTGCTCACATATCCAGAGGACTCTCTCTTACCATGTGAAAATACAAATGAAGCCCTGAATTTCCTAAAGAGTGCCGTGGCTGCCTGTAATGGCAGTGTTGGTACATGGCTGTGCAAGGTACACTGTGTCTCAGGTACATTTAATGAGCTTGGGGATCCTGCTGGGGGCACAATGCCATTAACATTTCCCACCTCAGCACTATCGTTTGGTGCCATTCAGTATTCAACTCAGCTGAAGCTTGTGGAGATGAGCTTAGCCTTGTTTTGATTGTTGATGTACTCAAATTAAAGATGCAAAGCTAGTAGTAATTAAAAGCATAGTCTGGTTTTGGCTTTTTGGTTTTTGTTTTTGTTTTTTACAGTATCCCACTGTGTTCCCTCTTTTGATATCACAAGATTGTTGGTAATGATTACAGAAATATGAAATGTTCATCCTAACTTTCAGTGCACTGAATCCCAGCTGTTTATCTTACTAACACTCTCCCGTAGTAATACACAAATAACATAGTATGTGCCCTCCCCATACCACTCTCATCTGAATTCTAATTGCATTTTCTGATGATGACAAGCTGGTTAGGAGAAATCAGAGCCTTCAATGCCTTTTTAAATCCATTGTTGAAATTCCATGGAATGTGTGAAAGTGGACTTTGCCTTCCTAATGACACACAGCACCAGAGTCTTGTAATGCACTTCCAGTCGCACAAGTTGAATTATTCTGTATAATCCTGAGAGGCTGTTATTGATTCCTGTGGGGCACAGAAGATCTAGTACTGTACAAAGAGATCATAGCTGAGTTGAGCTGGCTCAACTGGCAGTCAGGATGAATGATGTGATCAGTACAATTCACTATTTGGTGTCGAAAAAGAAGTACATCTGAAAAGTATCAAGCTATTTGCCCTGCGAAAAGGCACCTATCTGTTCAATTTCTGATTTGAAAAATTAAGGCCATCTCTCTGAAAGCAGGGATTTACATAGGAAAGCATGTTTTTCAGTTCTTGATCAAATTGGATCTGAGTCTCTGTTAAAAAGTAAGAATATACTTTAAACAGATCTAGATTATAGGTATGCAATGTGTAGATATTCAGTTCCAGTGCAAATATCTTTGATTAATGATTTCTTCTGGTGACAGGAAAATGTCAAAGAGGGAAAGGGGCTAATCTAAAGAAAGCATAATAAATTAATCCATGAAAACCCTCCAACAGCAGCCGTGTATGTTTCTTGCAAAGGATAATTAAATCTATTGTAAACATCTCTAAGGAAGACACGGAAGTCGGCACATAATTAAAGACTTAAAAATGAAATCTGAAACATGGAAACCAAGATTAAAAACCTTGAGCTGTGTTTGTTCCATTTTTTAATACTTCCATTTAGATACAAATACTCAAAGTCAATAAGGAAAATGCATTATCATGACTTTCAGGGCAAGATTCCAATGGTGTGTTTGAAAAGAGAGAATCCTGCTAGGTGGATTTCATATCTCACATCCATCAAAGTATTGAGAGCTGCATAAAAGTAATCAAAATATAAAAATATTGTTGCAAACTGTATGGGATGTTTATTGATATACCTTTAGCAGGAAGCTTGACAGAGTTTTTTGGTAATGTCCAGATCTTGTGTGCACTTGGGGCTGCTTTGGTCAAATGCAGGAAAAAGGTGCACTTGGCTTAGGAGGCAGCACCAGGAAGGAGGGAGAGAGAAATATTTCGTATATATTTGAAAAAAAAACCTGGACATTTAATGAGAAAATCCCTTAGAAAATAGTAAATTTCTGATTTATATTTTAATAACTAATGTTATCTAGGTATGTCTTAATATGGGGCCTTGGGTAACTTGTTTTTAATTATTAGGGCTTCTTTTCAGGCTAAAATTCTTAATGATTAAGCATATGCTTAAGCCTTTGGCTGCACAAGAGCCTTTATCAAGATTGTACTTCAGGTTATATCCAAATTTGTGCATATTGCAGAGAAAGGGGTTACTCTAAAGGAAACACAATTAATTAATCTGTGAAAACACTCCAATAGCAGCAGTGTCTGTCTCCTGCAGGTAATGCGGGGAGTTTCGTGTCAGCTTTAACTGGGCTAAAAGCTTCAGAAAAATCCTGTTGTGGAGTATTCAGCTTGACAAAATAAAAAGGAGGAGCTGGAAAAAGCAACAGGAAGGGTTTTTGCAAGATGTATGGATAGGCATCAAATTGTTGCAGAATAAAACTGCTCTTGGTAAAACAACCTCTTGCAAGTGGCTCTGGAGGGATGCTGGAGACAGAAACAGTGACAGCTGGGTTGCTTTAAATCAGGTGTGGGCTGTGTGGGAAATGTTTGGATTTTGGCTCATCTCCTTTCTCTTCTTGTCTTACTCTGCCCGTGCTCTTACCTGGCACAGATAAAATATTAGAACAAGTCAAAACATAGTCTCTTTGCTTTCCTGACTTTTCTCTCCCACTTCCTAAGCTAAAATTTTAAATGTCAGATTTTCAAAATGTGGCATTTTCAGAGGAGTGCTATAGCCTGGATCTCACTCAATGGAAAATGTATTTCCAGTTCAAAGGGTTTTAAAACAGGAAAGGCCAAAGCAAATGAAAAAGAGTGGGGAAACAGCAGCTGAAGCTCTTCTCTAATTAGATTTTCAGTTGTTTCTGTCAGCAACTTCTCTACCTAAAAACTGAAATCTAAATCTTGCATGCCTTAGAAATGGCTCCTTTCCCTGGCTACACCTGTAGACAGCATGAGTTTCGTGGCTATGGAAAAAATGAAGACAAGAGAAGAAAAGGTTCATTAGAGCACAAATTTTGACACTTGGAGAAGTGAGGCTATTCTAAAAGACTGTCACCCTTTTCATCTTCTGCTGCTACCTCAGACATGTCAAGGAATATTCCATGACCTGAAACTGCATGACCTGGAATATCTTCAGAGCTGATAAATCCAGTGGGGTCAGTATGGTGCCACAGTTTTAACCATGTGAAAAGCTTTTCTCCCAGCAGAATGGCTTTGCTGTTCAAAGACATAATCTCCTTTTGAGTAAGAAAAGACAACTAAAACCCGTATAATGATGGACCTGGAGGAATTGGGAGAGCATCAAAGGGCATTTCAGAGATCTCGGTATTTGGTCTGAGTCCAGCACTGGACTTGAAATAATAATAGTCCTTCTCTGAAAGAGGCTCAGAGGTGATGTGTGGTCACTCCTGGCTGTGGAAGTGTATCCCATTTGGTGGCTGCTGCTGGCTCAGTCAAACAGACAGAAGTGCCCAGAGTACTGCATGGTGTTTGAAACTGCACATCTTTCTTATCACTCACCTTAACAAAGGACATAACGCTGCTCTAAAGACCATTTCCCCTGCTACACCTTCAGTCTGGGATTCTCCACAACTGAGCAACACAGTTATTTTTGTCTCATCTGTTTGGAAGCAACAGAGCTTCCAGCAGGGTGCCAAGGCAGTGTAAAAACAACTTTAGTCTATTAAAAGAGATCATCTGGGAAAATTCGTTGCTCTTGTCACCATCAGGTAGAGCTCTGCTCCTTTTGCTTTCCATTCAGGCAAGCCTCCACTATTTCTGCCTTCACAACAAGTTATAAAAAGACAGAGAACATGAGGAAGATAAAAGTTCTGTTACAATTTCCTCTTATATTCATGTACATTCACATCTCTTTCTGGTGTGGATACCTGTCTGATGCCAGCCACTCACACAGGTACCCTTCATTCCAGAAGGGGAATGGGGCATCCAGAGGACTGCTTCTCAAAGGAAAAGAGGGAGAAAAGGGAAGAAAGAAAAGGAAGAAGGAACAAACCCAAAGTAATTGAAATGTCATTTCAGCCAATTTTATGAAAGGTTATTAATTATTAGTTATTAATTTTCCTTTATTCCAAACAGTGGGCACTGCTCCAGTGCACCAGGCTGTGGAGGTGCTCCACAGCAGTAGCCAGCAAGTGTGAACAGCCAGCATGAGCACCATGCAGAGCCAGAGGGGGGTTTCCTAGGGAGTGAGGATGTTTAAAGGTAAGGCAAGATGCTGCATCTTACATGAAAAGAAGGGATCTTTAGCAGCCATGGTTGTGTGACAGGTCAGTGCAGGCTGTTCCTCTGGCACATCAGACCTTGTCGCTGTTCTCCAGTTGGTCCCGGTCACCCCGCTGATCCCATCTCTCAAAAGCAAAACAGAGTCTGTTTCCATCCTTTCTCTCTCACCACAGGGAGACCTCCAGAGATCCCTCTTTCAGGTGGATTTTGGAGACGGCATCGCTGTGTCATATGCCAATCTCAGCTCAACAGAAGATGGGATCAAGCACATCTATCAGAACGTGGGCATATTCCGAGTGACCGTGCTGGTGGAAAACAGCCTGGGCTCTGACAGCGCTGTCCTCTACCTGCACGTAACGTGTATGTATGTTCATACCCCTTCTTAGCTCCTGCTTTTCTTTTAGAATTGCTGCTTGTAGCTAGAGCTGACATTTGGAATTTGGCAGCTGGGTCCAGAATGGTGGGAAATGATGAGTGTTCCCCTGTCCTCCAGACAGACTGTTGATTCCAGACTGAGAGGAAACGTAGATTCATTAAGGTTGGAAAAGACCTCTTAGATCATCAAGTCTAATCATTAATTTTTGCTTTTTAAACCATGTTTTTATCTCTAATTTTGGATAGTCTAATTTGGGACACCTCTAAGGACTGTCCTGAAATGCACTTTCATTACCAAGCTTACACTTCTAGAACAACAAAGACACCCAGGTATCTTTAATGATTTTTAAAAGCTTTGAATTTTACTTTGTGCATGTTTTTATGTTAATGAAACACACCCAGCTCTGGGATGGAAACCAGTGCATTTCAGTGTTTCTGTTGTCATAGGAACCAAAATATTTGTATTAAATAGTATTGCAAAAAAAACCACAAACTAAAAGACTATCCTCACATTGCTTTTCTGCTATTCTTTTTAACATTTTTATACTTCATATGTGTCTGATTTACAACTGGAATGTATCCTAAGTTCTTGGATAAAACCATCATTGTATTCTTTCATATTTATTTTAGCACATGGTTATGAACCCAAAAGGTCAAACTATTTATCAAAATTTTGTAACATTTGTAATGGATTTTGTTTGGGGCCATAATTTTTCTTTATACAGTGGAGTTTTTTTGTTTGTTATTTATGTTTTCACTGTGTACCAGATTAACTGAGAAAAAAGGAAATTCCAAAACATGACGTTACGTTTACAGAAATATTGTTTACCATCTACCAAACTAACTTCACATATTGTGCAGATGATTTGGCACATTCCCTACACTTTACCTCTAGTTTTGGGGTTAGTTCACACAGCATGAAAGCAGCTGCCTTTTCAGGGTAGGAGAGCAGCTTTTTAATGAAGAGCCATTGTGTCAACAGATGGGAACAGTGGGAGGCAGGAGTGTGGGAGATAGCATTTTTGTGAAGGAGAACTAGAGGAGCAGGAGCAAATATCCACCTGAATGTCCCCCTTCAAAAACACCTTTGGTTGGCAGGTGTCCAGCCTTTGCCCACTCATAGTGTCTTTCTTGTCTGCAGCTGCTCTAATGCATTTTTTTTGAGACACTGAAGGCTTATGAAGTGTTTTGATTGCTTAACTGTACAGGAAAGTAACAATATTCAGATTTGTTTGTGTGACTTAGCAGCTGATAGTGTATGTTTGTGTTTTGCATAGGTAATTGCCAGCACACAGAGTGATTATTGCAGCCAGGCCCAGATGATATGTGCCAGACTCCCTGGAGAAGAGACAGCTCTAAGGGATATGTCTCACCTTTCTCTACATGACAAGAATTAGGGGCTGCAGAACAGGTCACAAATGAGCATGGTGCCACTCAGCCTAGCAATAGACTTGCTGAGGACAGGGATGCACAGGAGATCCAGCCCCCTCCAGAGTCTAACACCCTGACCCACAAAAGCTCCTCATCCTATTTGAATGCTTGCATTGCCACTCAGCCCTCTGCTGAGTATTCTGCTTGGGGTGTTTGAGCTTGGCCTTTGGGGAGTTTTGCAAAAAACATCTGTCCTTAAAACAGACACACTCTGCATTGTCAGAGGCACAGACAAGCAATGTGCAGCCTCAACATCTAGAGTTTTAGGAAGGGCTACAAACTGGCTGATCCCTGGTTACAGGGTTAATACATGAGTGTCTGCAGCCAGATCTGGGCCTTCCAAAACCTTCCTTACCTGTGGCCAGCACTCTTTCTGCAGGAGAAAGCTGCAGGCGCTGAGCCTCCAGTGCTTGTGGTTTCAAAGATAAAAGTCAAGCCTTCATGCCATGCTCCCCTCATGCTGCTGCAGCCATGTGGCCAGTGCACAGAAGCAGTGCCTTTCCTGCTCCAGGGATCCAGAAGTGCAGGTTACTGTGAGACAGGGGCATTTTGAGCTGGATGGACAATATAAACTGTTGTATGTAAACTGCTCAAGCCAACAGCCTGTCTCTTAGCTGTCCTGATATGTCAAAAATTTCTCCTGGAAAATTATCTATGGGTGCTTCAGATGCTTCAGAATAACATCACCTGTGCAAGTGAGCCTTTTGAGAAGCTTCTCCCTTTCAGTTTTCTAGAGCTTGTACACACTTGTTTGTTTTCCAGAGACAGCTGAAGGCCATAGCCTCCACAGCCCTGTATGAAGCTCAGAAATTAATTTTCTTGAATCCTCTTCAAACTTACCTGGGAGAAAGCAGTCTCCTAGCAGGAGGGCCTATCCAGAGTGAGCTATCCCCATCTGCTGGCCAGATAACAGCTCAGCTTTTCAGCCTCCTTGATCCAGCTGTGCTGGGAAATGTTCAAGCAGAATTGGGTTGCTTGAGCCATCCTTCATATCCCTTCCTAGCAGGTGTATGAGGAAAGTCCAAGGAGGTGCTGGGCATTCTCTGCTGTGCAGGATCATTTGAGATCTGTTCAGAGCAGTGATACAGTAATGCTGGAGAGTATCAGATTTTTCATGGGCTCCATCATTACAGTTGTCACTGCATTTAGCTGGGGAAGTTGCTGTTTTTCAGGTCTTAGGGTCTTGCTGACAGCAGGAACAGTGTGGAGATGGAAATGGATATGAGGAGGAGGGTGCCATTAAAATCATAAGGGTGAAATTGTGGCATCTCATGAATTTCCAAGAGTGTTGATTGCTGCTTATAGAAGGCAAAATAAGCCATGGTCTCATGTATAAGCAGGCTTTGGTTAATCTGATCATGGATAACTTTTAATTGGGCTGCTTCAGCTTAAGCAGTGGCTGTGTCTACAACCCAGAGAAAGATGCATTTCAGTAATAAATCAGGAACACTGGTCCTTATTCTGGCATTGTTTGTACAGTCTGATTTTGAAGAGGTTTTTTCCTCACTCTGCCTATTGTGTTACACAGGATGCTTTCTCCAGAATATTTGGTATTCATTTAGGCTGAAAAGCAAGGTCTAAGTGGTGATTAATGCATGAGGTATATCCTGAAAGATCCTCCCTGGAAATACATAAAATTCTCTAGCAATGCATCTCAACTTCATATGAACAATTCTCATCACTGGAGAGCTCACAGATAGAGGATGTGTAGATGTGGCCTTAATATGTTTAAGGAACTCATGTCCTCATGTCACCTGAGGTTTCTTTATTTTTCTTTCCCTGTCACTCAGGACAATTGCTTTGTTCTCTTAGTGAACAGTCAGAACACATTTTAAAAATAATCTATAGAACAAGATTTAACAACAAAGGCCCATCTGTTTCCAGAAGATGGGAAATGTGTAACCCTGGGCATAATGTCACTTGTCGAATGAATTATGTTCTGTTTATACTGAAGAAATAAAAGGGTTTATTGATGAAAAGGAGGGAGTATAAGGTAACATTAAAATGCAGACACAGTGAATAGCTGCCTTCAGAAGGAGTTTCTGCTGAAGTTCACCAAATCATAGCAGTTTTCAAGCAAAGATATTTCATATCTACTGAAGCCCTTTGCACATTCTTATGTCTTCCCAGTGAAGGCCATATTCACACAACAGGGCACTGTCCCTACTGTAAAAGTCATATCAGCTCCTGACTTCATGACATTCATGCAGTAGAGAGCCCAAGCTTTTCAGCTCCAGGTACAGGGGTGGCTCCTGTTCTCTGAGGAACAGGTTTAACCCTTCCTCTCTAGAAATGGTACCAAACCACAACAGTCTGTCATGTCCCACAGTGATCTGGGGAAGAATTTTCTTCCCTAAACCAATGGATATCCCACTCAGGTTCACTATTCAGATGAAGGGAGAACTCACCTGATGCTTCTGTCTCTGCAGGCCCCTTGGAACACGTTCACTTGTCTCTACCCTTTGTCACCACGAAGAACAAGGAGATCAACGCCACAGCAGTGCTGTGGCCAAGCCAAGTGGGAACACTTACTTATGTCTGGTGGTTTGGGAACAACACAGAGGTTTGTATTCCTGATGGACTGAGGTCAAAATAATCCTGGAGGAGCTCTCTGACAGAAGAGGGAGGGAGAGAGGGATCTGGGAATGCTTCTATGCATTGCTTCTATGCTTCTTGCACAGATGCAAGAAAATGATAAACCAAATACCAAGATGCTAATGGTCCTTGGAGGTACCGACATGGAAATTTAAGTAGTGCTTTGTGTGTGTGGCTGTGCCTTAGCTGCAGGGTTTATTGCTATTTCATGCAAGTTACCAATAGCTTTCTTCCTTAAGAAAGGTGAGCATAGTTAACCAAAGTCTGGAAGAGTTTCTACTGTTTTTCTTCACCCTCTTTTCTTCAGTAAGAAGAAAAAAAGTAGGGGCTTTGGAAGTTTTTTAGGAAAACAACCTTTCAAGCTGAAGCTTTTTTTTATATTTGGAATTGACCTATGCTGAGCCCCAGCACCCCATGCTAAACCACATGTGCAAAAGGACCTTGCTGTCATGTGCTACAGGTGGATGAAATGGTTCCCAACACGCCTCCCTGCCCCAGGGCTCTGCTCAGATATGAGAGTGTCATCCATCACGTTCTGCTGCCTCTGTGCTTGCACAGACATTAGAACTGTTACTTCACATATAATTATGGCTAAAGTATCCAGAAACCCTAATTAGTTTCTGAGGGGAGAGGTTGTCATGGATTTTGTAGAGCCAAGAGGGAGCTTCATAATCACGCATGAATCTCTTCTGTATAATGCAAATTAATTTGATCAGTACCTTCTGCTTTATTTAACTCTTTGTGACTAAGGCAGAACCTGACTTTTTGTTGTTGTTTTGCATTAAAAATTTTCCTGAGATGATGGAAAATGCACTGCTTCTCTTCTGACCATCTCCTCCAACTATTTCCCCACAGCTAATTATTCTGAGCTTTGAACTCATGCACCGTGTTTGTAGTCTGAATTTATCTAGTCTGGGATTCAAGGTGTTGGATTTTGTTATGCCTTTCTGTGTAGATTAAAGAACTCTGTACTATCAGCAGTCATCTCCCCCTAGAGGTACTTACAGGCTGTGATTGTCACCTTTTAACCTTCCCTCTGATCTCCTAAGCTCAAAAGTGATCATGGTTGGTCTAATTCTGTTCTCATTTAAGTGTGGGTTTTGGTATAGACTACAATGGCAACAGTTTGACTTAATACTGGGTACTTGGAAGATCTCACCCAGAGCTGATTAACAAGCAAAAAGAGAAGTTAGGGAGAGTCTGCTGGAGGACACAACTCATTGATAAACTGGTTCACAGCCAAAGGGATCTGTTCCCTCTCAAGCATCAGCATTTACCAAATACGATGTCTCTGTATCTAAGGATAACATAGGACACAAATGTGAAATCTTAATTTGGCTGGTTCTGTGTCGCTAAAGGACACAAAATGATTCACACAAACGTCTCTCAGTGATAGAACAGCAAAAGAAAAAACTTTATTCTCTGACTCCAGTACTTATAGATTCTTGACAATGATTGGATAATTAAGTTACCACCTTCCTAAGGACACTGGTCATGTGAAATGTCCATCAAAAGATGTTTCTTAGAAGGGATGTGATAAATATGTATATATTTATATATTTATATATTTATATATATATATATATGTGATATATATATATATAAATATATAAAAATGTTTATTGAACTTTCATGGGAAAGTAACTAAAACTGTGAAAACATTATCAGAAGGCTTTGGTTTTCAGGGTGACAGTTCTGCACCTTAAATAAAGCACTTACACTAGATTTAGGAAGGGAGGCTTCTACCTGAGCAGTGAGTGTTGCAGGCCTTTACAGCAGGATCTGAGCCTCTCTGGGGAGTGAGCAAAGGTGGGAATTTTAACATGGGATCCAGAACAACCAACATGCTAAGTGGAAAGAAAGCATTGCAAATCCTAAAACATAGCTCCTTTGGAAATTTTAGGTTCCTTTTACCTTACTCCAAGCTTCAGGAGGACATCCCTGTCTGAGATTCGTGTGCTCTCTCCAGGAAATTAGCTGCCATGTCATAGGGCCCCTCCTGAGTCTGAAATTTGCAATCTGGAACTAACTCCTCAAACCATCCCAATATGTTGGAGAGCCAAACTAATTTTTGCTTTTCCTTTCCAGCCAAATTAACTCAATTTTTCCTTTTATGATGTACTTGCAGCCACTGATCACATTGGAAGGGAGCATCACATTCACATTTTCTGTGGAAGGGATGAACACAATCACTGTCCAGGTCTCAGCAGGAAACACCATTCTCCAGGACACAAAGACTATTGCAGTGTATGGTGAGTTCTTCCCCTTAAGTTTCACACAGGATTCTCCACAGTCCACATTTACAGAGCCTGGTTACCTGGCAGCAACAAGAGGTCTTTATTCCAGAATGCTTTGGGTGAGATTATAAATTGAATTCCAGTGTTACCAGTCCAGTGCAATATCTCTGAAGGCCACTGCCTGACATTAGTGCAGACTGACATGATTGCAGAATATTGATCTCCTTCCCAGAGCCCTGTGCATGTGCTCCATCACTCTTTCATCATCTTTCATGATTGTCAAAATGTTAGTTTGTTTTGTAAGCTGGTTTTCCCCCTTCTTGGCCAGCAGAGGCCTCTTAACTCACAGAAAAGCTGCTCAGCTTGAAAGACAAATCAGTGCTGTGTGCCGCAGTTCTGCACAGAAATCTGTACTGATCTGACATTGTTCTCGTGCGTCAGAAGCAGTTAGGGCACACAAATACCATCTAGTGTTGATGGAGCCTAAAACCCACTGGGGATCCCAGTTTTAGCTGATAGTGATCAGTGTGGGCACCTCTGTTAACAGCAGCAGAGATTGGGTACGTTTTCCAAGGCTACTCCTCTCCCCACATTTATCCCTGTTCCATTCCAATTAAGATCTCTAGGGTTTGGGACACATCTATGAGAGTCCAGTCACAGCTTCCTACGCAGGGCGTGCCTGCTCCAGAAGTCAAATTGAAGGTAACATTTCATTTACATTCCCAACACAGCTCCCTTTGCAGTGCTATTCATCCACTCAAGCAAGGACTGATCACCTTTTTCAGTTCCAAGACACTCAAGTAATGAATCTCCCAGATTGTCCACATCTCTCAGGGAGACTCTCAGGTGCTCTGCTGGATTCCCTCACAGTCTGTGCACCATCTGCATATTGATTAAGCAAAACATGAGCTGCATCAGGTTTCACAAAGTTCTGACCCCTCATTTGGCATTAAAGCATTTCAGTCTTTACTCACCACTCTGTCATTGCATCTGCAGAGAAATTTCAGTCCCTGAGGTTATCGTTCTCTCCAAACCTTGATGAGTACAACCCAGATATCCCAGAGTGGAGAAGGGACATCAGCAGAGTAGTCAAGAGAGCTCTGGTGGAGGTAAGCTGTGTGCATAACCTGTGTTACAGGGGTTCTGGTTCCTGGTTTGTTCCTTCACTAGGAATGGATCAGCAGTTCTCTCAAGGTGTCTCTGTTTCCACCACGCAGAAATGGAGAACTGAAGCATTTGAGGCCAGCATCCTAAATTTTAGACAGGTGAAATGATGTCATCCTATGATAATCTGGTGCCCAGAGTCAGCCTTCAGTGTAAAGCAACAGTGTTCTGATGGAATTGCAGATATGCTGTAAAAAACTTGTGAGACCAAAAATTAAACAATCTTTACTACACAGAAGAACACCAGAACAAGTACTTTAAATCCTTCATATGGCACGAGGCTCACAGGGCAGGACTGGATGCTGCTTTTCCCATCAACACTGTACAGAAGCTCTGAAGTTCTTTCTTTAACTATGGAACAGAATGTCACAAAAATATTCTAGTGTAGCTGAAAATTTGGATTTGAAATTGAGGAGGTAAGAAGAGTTAGAAGAGATAGGTGGGCTTTCTCAGCTCAATAGAAAAATAGTGCAAAGAATTGTTTGAAATAGTGTTTCTGCTTTTATTTAAAAATAAAGATACTCAGATTTTGAAAGGACAAAACCTTACCAGGGTTATTAGCAAGGTTAAGTGTTATTTGTGGCATGATCTGGGCAAAAACTCTAGAAAAAAAGTATGCACTAATCAGGTGCACAAATTTGTCGGTATTGTTTCTGAGTTTTTTTCTGGTATTTTGTTAAGACAGGAGGAAAGGGAAAAAAAGAGCATTTTTCTGGAGCTTGATCTTCTGACATATTTATGTCTGTATCAAGTATTCAAGGATCCATTTATCTTCAAGGTGAATTTTCAGAAAATAAACATCTCAGTAAAGCAAAATCAAGCCATAAAAAAAGAATTGTAAAACCACAGTACCAAGGCTACATTCTAAAAGCAGAGCAGTGAAAAGACAAAGTATTTTGGTTATTTGATTAAAAAAATAAAAATTGATAGCTAATTATCCATCTTTATGTAGCTAAATGGTTCACCTTAAACAAGCCTTTGTGAGAAGTTCCTGTAAAAATTAGAGATAAACCCAGTAGATTTCTACAGCAATTAAGTGAAAGGTATAAAAATGAGTCAAATAACTAAATAATTCAATAGGAAATTATAGCTGTGCTATAGAATTTTTATGAACTTTTATTAAAGTATTATATTCTTATTACAGAATATCATCAGACTTGGATAAAATTCTGCATACAAAATTACAGTTCTGCACTAAAATCTGATCTTCACTCTGAGTAGGGATAATTTCATAGTATCACAAAATATCCTTTTTCTTGTTTTGATCATAATTATTTGCTCGCATCATTGATTTTCTGATTACTGTCTCCCACTTTTGAAAAAAAAAAATTGTTCCCAGCCTCTGAAAATGAAGGCAATGAAGCAGTGAAGGAATGTCTTTCCTGACACCTTAAAGAAACCTGTTAGACAAGAAGAAATAATGCAAGCCCTGGCTTCACAGAATACTCATAAAGAATATAAGAGACCTTTATATATTTATAAGAGTTTTTTCCTAAATCCACATTACATAACAAAGCAAAATAAAAGAAGGGAACAAAGACACGTGCTTTTCCTTGGTGTGTGGTGGAGGGGACTCCACAGGGTTTCCCCCAGATTGTCAGCAGTCATGCTAGGGTTTTCCATGGGAAAAGCTCAGAAAATTGCGATTTGTGATCAGTTTTGCTGACCCTTTGTCCTGCATCCACCATTTCCCCCGAGGAGCTCCATGTCTTCACTCCTGAACTACCATGGAAAAGAATTCCTGAGGTTTAGGTCCAGTTAATGTCTGAGAGGCTTCCAAGTCCTTACTGCAGGGGAATCTCTGCTGTGCCTCTGTGATCTGTATCTGAAGGCACTTCTCTTCCACCACTTTAAAAGTGACCAACTAAATTCAGCACTTGAAAACTTCAGGTTAAATAAAAACCTTGATCTTTAAGTGCCTTTGGTGGATAATTCACAATAGAAAGGCAATGGAGGAAGATTCATCAAATTATGTTTCTCCTTCCTTTGTCTAACAAAACTTCCTGAGGGCCAAACTAGGTCCTTTTTTGGATGATAACTGGGCAATCTGATTGTGTAGTGTTAGCTGAAACATAAGACTGGAGATGGCCAAGGCAGTAATGCCTGTAGGTGACTTTTTTCCTGAATTTTTGTCTAATGTATCAAAATTAGGGATATTAAAGTCCCAACTTAAAAATTTCAGCCACCGAGATGTACAAGATACAGCCTACATGGTGAAAGTACTGTGATGCCTTAATGAAGAAGCTCTCAGCATTCAGTGCCATCCCCTCTGTTTCTGTCTCCATTTGTCTGTGTGTCAGGCTACAGGTATTTCCAGCAAGCATGTTCTGGTTGCAGTGCTCCCTGGCCTGCCCACGTCTGCTGAACTCTTCATTTTACCATATCAAGATGCCACAGGAGAAAAAAAAAGAACAGCAGCAAACCTAGAGCAGGTATTGTGTCCATTACTTGGAGAAGTGTATGTTTATGCTTTTCTCTGTGTGTGTGGATGTGTGATATATATATCTGTATGTATATGGGATTTGTATATGGCTAAAACTGGTAATTATGGTAGGAATACATCTGATTCACTGGGGTACATGTTACATTTTACATTCTCTTCAGTGTTTCTCTTTATGTTTCTGTTTTTTTGGGGCTGGTTGGGGCGTTTTTTTGGGGTTTTTTTCTCCCCAGCTTTGGAAACAGGCTTTGGAGCTTCCTTTAGGAGTTTAGATACATATTTGTCTTCCTTTAGAAGTCCTGTTTACTTCATGGAAGAGGTAAGAAAGAAGGAAGGATTTAGGGGCTGATTCCTGCTGACAGGAACTGTGGAGTAGCTTCATGAAGCAAAGCTTATAGTCCAGAATCTAGAATGCACTGGAGGACAGAGCTGGTGGTGATCCTGGGCAGTTCAGAGCTTCATTAGTTTAAGGCACAGGGATGGGATCTGCTTGCCTTCCTCATGGTGCTGGAAGTGGGGCTGAGCCACTGTGGATTGTTTTCTCTGTGAACAGCTGAAATAGGTTATGGTGACTGGAGGACTCTGTCTCTCTGCAGACCCAAAAGGTCCTACCAGCCAGATGGGCCTAGCAGGATTGTAATTAAAAGATAAAACATTGTGCTGGGAAAAAAATCCTGAAATCTTGTAGAATTATAGAATTGTTAAAGTTGGAAAAGACTTTTAATGCCATTGAGCTCAATTGATAGCCTAACACTGCCACATGCACCACTAAACTATGTCCTCTTGTCCCATAGCCCCTTTGCCGTCTCACAGCTTATTAGTTCAGATTCCAGGGGCAAAGAGAACTTTGAGGGAAGCACCAGTGTACCTCTCCCTCTCCATACTCCATGTCCATGGCTCAAGCCATACTAACTCAGCCATGAGCCTCAAACCTCCAAGTCACCCATATTCTTAAGCTTTCCCTTGCTCAGCATTCCTACCTGTCATCTTTTCTTTTGACAAATTACTTTTTTCTTCGATTTTCACCACCCATGTAGTAAACAAAAAATATGGAGATTTACTGCTCTGCAAAATCTTTCCTTCCTTTTCTCCTTCATTTCCCCTTCTCCTTGCTTCCTTCACAAATTGGCAGGGAAGCCAGTCCATAAACTTTCAAATTTACATCTGACCCAGCTCCCTTCCGGCACTCAGCAGCTTACTCTTTCTCCCTCTTTTTATGCCTCTCTTTTTCTCTCCTGTAAAAATATAGTCTTTGTGTCTGTGGAGGAAGGAAGCCCTGGCAGTGCTCGCTGGCCCTTTTTATGGATGAGAAGAAATGTCATTTTCAGTGTAACTCCATCAACATCTCTGGCATGCTGCAGAGTCCAAGTGGTAACCTCTGGAGGAGAGAGAAGCTGTTTGCCATTTGCAGCCAGCTCTCTCCTGTGGGAAGAAAACCCCAGGATGGTCAGAATGGTTTTCTTTCTGGTCTGTGGGTGCTGCATTCCCGTTCCTAGTAACTCTAGTAGAAAATTGTGGGGTTTTCAGTGAGAACTGCCCAAGGGCCACAAAAGATGTCTCTGCCCTCTGCTCTGAAGCATATTCTGATACTGCTCCTGTTATGTCATCTGTTTTGCCTGTGATCCTCCACTGTGCCTTGCCCAAAGTGTTTCAGAGCTCATTCAACAGCCTCTCCCCGTGCTTGAAGTTGCTGCGATGAGTATTGGGAGCAGATGTTTTTGATAGCTACAGCTTAAGCTGCTTCTGAGGTACTTCTGATGTATAGTGCTCTTTTCTGGTAGGAATAGAAGTCTGTTTTGTGCTCATGGGCAAGGAACAAGCTATTCAAAGGCACGTATGTGAGTTTGCCAGTTTGCAGGTGCACACCCAAAGGAGTTACAGTTCTGAATTATTTCTTCTAATTTAGAAAAGAAGCTTCCAAGTATACAGGGAATAGAATGGGAATAGTTTACACAAGTACTGCAATGGAATAAGGTTCCTTAAGGAAGCACTTCATTATATAGATAACTTTCTTCATCACCTGAGCTAGACCACTGTCCTGCCGTGGGTAACCATGAGGGGTGTATGTGCTTCAATGGACTTTCACATCTACCAGTAAATCTCATTCATATTTAATAACCATGGGAGGCTTACATTTTGCTGTTTCTCCTTGGGGTGGGTTAAGCTGTTCTGTTTTTATCTGACACACACTCATTTGGCTTTGTAAACATACTTTGAGGTCTCTCTGCCCAGCCACTTGTATCTAGGTGCATAATTCCCATTGACTTCAGAGGCACTTAAATGTCCACTGTCCCTTGAAAATCTAGGTCTTGGTTTCCCATTTATCAAAGTCAATAATACTCCTTTGTGCCACTCATGCTTTTTGAATCTGAACCCATAGGCCAATGGTAGTGGGACTGCAGTAGTGCCCCACTTGACAGAAGTACATTTCCATGCAGTTTTCCATGAGGGTAGTGCATTTGTGTCTCATGCTCCCTTTGAGACTATGGTTAGATGGTAAATGCCATTTTCTTCCTGACTTGATGTATCACTTTCATAGAATTGTCCCAAATATTTTTTTAATGTATATATACAATCAATTATTGTCATATCTGTTTGCATTTAGAAATGGGAACTCTGCATTCCTAATATTTTCCACTGCAAACTAAAGTACCTTTAAAAAGTTTGACTGCTGTTGACAGCTAAAAAATCTGTTACATGTGAGTCTGGGAAAGTTTTCTCAATGTGCAATATAGGACAATTTCACTTAATATCTAAATACATAAAGACAAAATAAATGCTTGATCCACTCCACTTTCTATAGTCAGTGCAAAGTTATTCTTCAGAGGTTCCTAAATTATCAAAAGGCCTTTTCATCCTGCAGAATCCCAAAACACATTATAAATCTTGTATTTATGTATTTATGACAGGAATATTGTGGCTTTTCTCTTCTTTTCTTTTTTCTTTTTCTTTTTTATTTGGGTCATTTGATTGCTCTGCTTCATTAAACAGTAGCTGAGGACAGACTACCACCCTGTTTAAAAATGTAGAAATAATTGGCAGTTGCCAAACACTGGTCTTTGATTTGCATGCTACAACTGCAACAACACTGAAATATCCCAAATCTTGCAAAAACAGCCACACAGAATTGCCACTGGCCATTTGGGATGGAATGCAGTTGTTACACCATCTTTATGGATTGGCTTGGTGACTTTAATAATTACAGAATTCGGATCTGCTACTTCAAAAGCAGATTTCTTCAAATTTTTTTCTCTTCAGTGAAAGGCAAATCTCTAATAGTAACATTTCAAAAAACTGAGTTATTTTTGGCACAAATCCAGTTCAAAATGAATGCTCGGTAGGAAAATATTCTCCTTAAAACTCAGTAGAGGGCAGTTATGGTTATTTGTTGCAGTGTTTGGTTTTACTTAGCAGGAGGATTTTGAGAGGTTATCTTTTTATTTATGTATTTCTCAAATGATCTTCTTCCATGTTGTTTTCTAGTGGGGGCTTTTATCCAAACATGCATTTTATTTTAGTCAAATGAAATGTATGCAGAAGGTACATGAGAATTCTGAAGTGAAGTTTCAAGTGGAGGTTTCAGTGTTATCCTGAATTTCTCTTTAGTTCTCTGTTTGGGTGCTTTTCACTGGCCTGTTCAAAATTACTGTAGAATGCAAAACAGGGGGTAAGAGCAAATAGTTAATGACATTTGAGTCCATTAATCTTTTCTCTGAGAAGAGCTCTCATCAACATAGGATGGAGACTTTGGCAAATGGTAGCATCAGCTGGTTGGTAGCCAACTGTACTCAATATGCTGCAGCTGTGGCCAGTATCTGTATCCAGCCAAAGAGATGGGAAATGACATGGATGACTGAATATCAAATGGACAGTGATGAACTGCAGAGATTAAATGAATCTTGCAAGTTTAAAACCATTGAGAGTGGCATTCAGGAAGCCTGGAAGCATTTATCTGTTGGGATTCTTTCCTTAAAGCAGATTTAGTTTTATATCTGCTTCATTGCAGCTGATGAAGCTTCTATCTTATTTTATAGTTTGGGGTTTTCTTTCACCCACCCTCCTAAGCTTTAGTGTTTTGGTGTATTTGCTTTCAGTACTTTTCTACATATTTAGCATCAAGATCATGACAGTGAACGCCTTCAAATCTTACAGAAAATTGTGCCAATCAGTCCTGGAAATTAAATTCCAGGAAGAGGTTGATATACAGGGTAAATCATTTAATGTTTACTAGGAGAGAATTTTTTTTAACATCTGTGCCTTTGAATGAAGATCAAGTCTCCCACTGGTACTTGGGGGAGGTTGGGCCAGTGTTAAGAAGTAAAGGCAGATGAGGAGAGAATGGAATAATGTGAACCAAAAGACCTTGTAACAGGGGCTTTTTATTTCCTTAGCCAGCTTTTCTTAATAGCTGCTTGTGTGCTGTAGGAGAGGCTGTGTAAATCTCTTGTCTTAATACCTTTGATTTAACTCCTTCCACGTGACTGTGAGCCCTCTCTCCCTCATCTTTTGCTCAGTGTACAGAGCAGCCCTTGATTCTCAAGGCTGGTTTTGGTAGCCTTTGTTCATCAAAAGTGGATCCTGGCTTTTATGTCCAGGTTCTCTCTGGGTTCATATCTGCTGCTCCATTCTTGTCCCAGAGTAACCAGAGGAATATCCTCTGCCTCGTGCTCTCACCGTGTCCCTGGGTACTCCCAGCAGCTTGAATTTAGCATCTTTCATTAAAGATCTGAAGAAATTCCTGCTGGAGCCACTAAGTCAGTGACTGTGCTCTTTTCAGTGCTAAGGCAAGCGAGCTCTAGAGGCCCCATGTGAAGTGTCCAAGGTTATCCAGGGCAAGTGGCACAGTTTAAAGTAATCCACATTGGCCCTGACTCCTGCTTCACTTTCCCAATGTTGGTTTGAGTTTCTTCCTTCTAAATCAATGTGCATAATTCTTTCCTTAGTTGTTTATTGATTTGCTCAATGAATTGAATAGAAGTGTAGCACTCATTAGTTGAGATCTTTACACAGTATCTATAAAATTATCAAGATTCTTAGCTAGAGAATACTAGCACAGTTGAATCATGTTCAATTAGTCTAAAATAATTTATACCAGGGGTTTCAAAAGTCAATAAAGGTATGGGAAAATGCCCTTCTCAGTGATAATTCTGCTTCTTGGTTCACATGGCTTTTTTACAGTCCTAAATCTGACAAAATGCTAAGAGAAGCCAAATTAATTTTTGTTTTGTTCCATTTTTAAATTGGAATCTCTTTTTTTTTTTACCATTCACAAATTGTCTGTTATTATTATTCATTATGTGTCCTTTGATGAAAAATGATACATGAAGAATAGTTCCTATTACTAAATTATTTTTGCACATCATGCTTAATTCTGCAAATGAAGCAGATAAAGTCAATGAGGCTCAGTTAAGGACCAAAACTAATTCTGAAAGCTAATTATTTTCACAAGAGAGACTCTTGAAGACTATAAATTAGGAGGTTGCTATTCTAAGAAGTTTTGTCTTCAGCTAAGTTAGTTGCATCTCCAAGAGGGAGAGATGAAGAGGGGGAGGCCTGAGGCCAACCTGTTCCCCAGATGAAGGTCTGCCTGTTCAACTGGAGTTGCACTGCTATTTTTGAAACAGGTCAAAGTACTTTGATGTTTCCTTTTCTGATTTTTAAACCAGAATACATCCATGGTATCACTTTGAGTGCAGAAATAAAGGGAAGCACAAACCCCAAAACATTCACCATTGAAACCTTTTTATTACCTCAGCAACTGAGATCAGCCTTTGTGTGGAAATTTAATTCAGAGGCACTTTTTTAATACTGTAAACAACTCTAGTCAGAACCACTCCTAGATTAAAGTCTGATAACTGAGCTAGAAATAGGCTCGATAGAGTGAGAAAGGCAGAGGAGTCTGTCCTCCAATCTCAAAGCAAATGTCCTGACTGACCTTTCAGCTCACAGGCCCCCTTGGGACCATGTGAGGACCACAAACATTGCCAGGTCCAGCTTTGGAGACCAGTGTCCAATCCCAGAGTGAATTTGGCCCTTGAGGTTTATGTAAACTGCTCACTGACCTCAAATAGTGGCTTTTGTAAGCCATTATGTATGGTTTTCTATTTCTATTTCAGATAATTCTTAGGAGTACAGAAAAGCATTTTCACTCTGTAGGTCTGTCTTGTTTTCCACATAAAGAAAAATGAAAATATTGTACTGAACAAGCAAACATTTTAAAAACACGTCTGAATGCATCTGTTCTTCCCTCAGACGTGTGTGTCAGGAATCTCCAGAGCTGCCTGAGGAAGGCAGATGTCTGATTCTCAATAGAACTTCCAGCACTTTTGAAGATCTTAGGCTGTTACTCACTTTTTTCACTTGTTCAGATTCCATAAAGACCAAGGCAAAAAAACCCCCAAAAAAACAGAAACAAAGCTGTACACAAAAAGCCACTGGGAAAACATGTAATTAATCGAGCCAAGGAGATGTGCTTTATACTTTGTGCAGAATGAAGAGTTTTGCTGCCAGTTTTGACACTTTGTGTGTAGTCCTGGAATGGTTACAGCTGCTTCAGGGCTGTGCTGGGACACTGGTGGTCTCAGGCTGAAATTATTTTAATCTGAGATGAATTTGTTCATGTTATACAATGAAGTCCTCATTCATAATCAAGTAACAAAGCAATACAGTAATAATAAATTTCAGTTGTGACTCTTTCTTTCTGTCTTTCTTCCTTTTCCTTACTACTTCACCCTTACAGCCTCTCTCCTTCCTGTTTTTCCTTACCATTGGCCCTTCAGAGAGGAAAGCCTTTTTTTGTTGACTTTCCTCTCACACACCTCTCAGCTGCTGTTGTGCCTCTTCACTCAGTGCCACAGGAGCTGCAGGCAGGCCAGGGGAGATCTCACTGTTCCTTCAGGTCACTAGAACCCAACCAAACCTCTTCTACCTTCTCGTGCTTCCTCCAGATTCTCCCATTTTTCCATTTCTTGCCCAAATCCTTGAGGAAGCCATTCTCCAGTACTACCCAGCAACGTTTGCTAGCTGCAGACAGAGTTACATATCCCAGGAATATCACATTTTATACTCTGCTGGTAGAGCAGGCATCATGTGTGTTCTTCACCTCTGCTCTTTCCCTGCCATTTTGTGTGGCTATCACAGTGTGCTGAAGAGGAATGACACAGCTTGTGGTTGTCTCCTTTCCTTACTTTACTGTCTTGTATTTGGGGGGGTGGGGGTTTGTTTGTTGGCTTTTTTTTTTCCAGAGGCTCAGCTACCCCAGAAGCATCAGGATATCAGAGCAGAAAGGAAAATTCCTGCAGGATTATGGAAGAGAACTGTTAGGTTTTATGTGGGACTGCATACAGCCAGGATGATACTTTTCCCATTAGTTCCATGAGCCATTAATGTACCTGGTTTTCAGCATATCCATCTGCATCTGTTGCTCTAGTTTTAGAGATGAAAAACTTTTTATAGTTGTCAATCTTGGTTATTAATATGCTCAAATCCTTAAAGAGAGCTATAATTTGCTTCTCAGGCATTCTTCATGTACTGCACATCTTTGTGTCACCATCCCTGCTGCTCTGAGCTCAACAGATGGCTCTTTGAATGCAGGTGGTATTTTTTCTTGATATTGGAAGAAATAAATTTACTGCTCATTCTGGCACCCATGAAATAAATTGTAACTTTAAAGAGATATATTTAAAAATATAAATAAAATGCCTGTAAGAGTTATTGCCAAATTGATATTGGACCAAAGGCACCTATTCAAGTGATCAGCAGCCAGAAATGAAGTGTATGAGCCAAGAGTATTGAAAGAACCATTAAGAATGTTAAAAAAAAATAAAAGAAGCAGATAAATCTCATACTGTGATGAATGATAGCCAAGGAACATCTAATCATATCTGGGTAGAATTTACTGAAATAGCTCAACCAGACAAAAATTAAGAACATGAAAAAGATGGTGTAAAAATTATTGGGATGTTCTTTTTTCTGACATTTTTTCATTAATATTTGAGAAGGAATAAGGATTTATTTAAAACAAATTGAATTAAGTGGTGAGCACTAGAATGCGATTCCACTCAATCCTGGTGTGTCTATGAAAATACATTCTCAGCAAATGCATATTAAGGGTTATGGGGGATGTTGTGTTTCCAGTTTTCCAACCACCTTTCCCTAATATAGCCAATGTTCAACTGGAAAACTGATTTCTGCTCTAAGAAAACGTGAAATACACGAAACGTCAGGCATATGAACATACAAAAGACACACAACAAACTGACAACACCATGTCTGTAGGCTTCCATTCCTTGATTAATCTATCTGGATTTTTTGTTTTTAATGGCAGCATGCCTGGAACTTCTTGAATGTAATGAAGTGTGATGTGGAAAAAGTGGATCTGTGCATATTGCGACAAACTGACTTAAAAAAAAGGCATGTTTGCCAACAGATTGGTCCAAAGGTTGGCTCCTTACTGTACAAATACAGATTTCATGGGGTCTTATCTCAGAAATGCTCATCTTTTCTGTTGTGTCCATAAAGGAGGAGTAATCTGCTTCCTTTCTGCTAGGGCTCTGTTGATGCTGTCGGTTATGGAAGATAATCTGGTGATCTGAAAGCTGTGTGGAATATCATGAAAGAGAGTGGGTTATGCATGTAACCCATAAGAGGAGATGGGAACATGCATTTTCTTTAAGCCACATTCTGTAGTCAGTAAACACTTCCAGATTCGAGCTGGTTCTGGTACATATTTAAGGATTAGGGAGCAGCTGTCCTGAATCTCAGAGCTGGATGAAATGAAATTTGCTTTTAGAATTTGAAAGTTAACTGCAAGCTGTGGCAAGGATCTAAACCATTAATTTTTATTCAGGTATATCACATGTTATGAACATTGTCTAAGAGCACAGAACTGGCCACTCAACAAGCAAGAAGTTATTTATTTCGAGCAAGTGTTAATTAACAATTGAAATGTTCGTTTTCCGTGGAAGAGTGAATAAATTCACTGACGTGCTGCTGCTGGCTGCTCCTGTGGCCACTTTCACATGTGGGTAGAACCTTCCTTTGGGGCTCAGTTCTCTTTTGCTGCTGGGCTGCTCCTACAGAGGTGTGATGGGGCACCTTGTTGCTCAGTCAGTGATGACCATTCACAAACCACTTTGTCCAAAATCTTTCATTGTGGGGTGATAGGAGTCTGTGCTCAGAAAGTCTGCAAAATCTTTGCTGTGTCCACAGCTCCATTGCTTACCCATCTATTGGCAATCTAAACCAATGATCAAGAAATGATCAATGCATTTCTTGATTTCTTGTTTTATCGTCTTTTTTCCTTTTTTTTTTTTTTTTTGTTGTGGTTGGGTTTTTTTGGTTTTTTTTTTTCCTTCCCAGATTTCAGAGACACTGATCCAGAAGCTGAATCAAAACCTGGTCCATTTTGAGTTGAAGCCAGGAGTTCGAATCCTTGTCCATGCTGCCCATTTAACAGCAGGTGAGTATCCTCTCCCTGTGTGTGCCTTCTGTGTTGCTCTGGAGCACAGCAAGCAATATATCAATGGTACTAGTGTGCTATCAGCTGTATTTTAAACATTTCTTCTTTTTATATCACAATAACAACTCAGAGTATGAGCAGACATTAAAATGTCTGCTCTACCTCCCCTTTCTATATCATGCCAAAAAGATATAGTGGCTTTTGCATTTACAGCTAATCCTTTTGTTTTCTTAGGTGCAAGAATTTACTGGTGTTTTTGGAAACATGGTATAGGTAGCAGTAGAAGTGTGTATTTCTTGGATATCTCTGAAATATTAAACATCTAAGCAGCACCATGGCATTTTCAGCCTGGGTCACATGGTGCAAAAGTTACCTGCTAGCCTCAGATATGTTCAGATATTTTAGTGTCAACAAACATTCAAAGCAACTAAACACTGCTCAGAAGTTGGTCAGCAGTCCAAAAGACTTCAATCAATAGAGATATGCACAAAAGTAAGATCAAGCAGTTTAGACTTTAACTAATCCTGTATCAAAATAAATCATCTCCAAAGTCCTGCTATTAAATTACATATGTCACTGTCAATTCTGCATGCTAAAACCTCATTTCACAGCAAAGGTCCTACTTAACTACTACAAGAGGTGGGACAATCCAATCCACATTCTTAGGAGTTCATTTTCCCCAGGCACTGCTGATAATTCTGATCAGTTGGTATCAGCTTTTTTTGGTAACTTGCCAACTTAAACCCTCAGTTCATTTGTACCAGCAAACTGCTCTCCAAAAAGCTTTTTGTGGTATGAATGGATCTGCCCAACCAGGTGTCAGTCCATATGCTGCCTTGTAAGCAGTAAGAAAAAAGAGACTAAGAGACTATTAAGAATGGGTGTAATGTGACTGCCTTTAAATCTTCCCAAAAGAAAGGCCTGGGGTTTCCAATATTTCATTTTTCCTAAGCAGAGCTTTCTAATGTATGTCCTGGGATTATTGATGTATGTTTCTGCTTTCCATTAGCTGTGGAACAGATGCTTATTTTTAGACAAGTTAGAACCAAAATGTCCACTTCAAAAATTTGTTTTACGTACTATTGTTTGTAATTTTTACCAAAAAATGCACGTTTTTATTTTTATTTTTATTTTTATTTTTATTTTTATTTTTATTTTTATTTTTATTTTTATTTTTATTTTTATTTTTATTTTTATTTTTATTTTTATTTTTATTTTTATTTTTATTTTTATATGGAGTACCTTTTGTCCATAACAGATGCAAACACTCATTTTTTTCTGCACAGTAGGCGTTGTGGTACTCTCTCAAAGCCACTGGTGAATGATTGCTGTAACTGGATTCAGTGTCTATAGGATCCCTGTAGGATTTTGTCTCTTGCAGAAACAGGATTTAGTAAGAATGCAAAATGAGCTTGGATGGCCAAACTATGTATTAAAAACCCAGAGAAAAGCCACTGTGAGGTCTTTGGGGGATTATGTCTCCTTAACAAGCTGCAGAGGTCATGACTGTTCTCTGTCTAAGTAAAAGGCCCAATTTCATGATACCAAAACTTGTGAGTAGTCTAAAATTTGACAAAAAGCCATGAGAGACTTACTTCTCTCCTGAAAGATATTGCTTTAGTTAGAAAATAAGAAGAACTGGCCTTTGGAAATCCAAGCTTTCATAAAAAATTAAATAAAATGAAGAGGGAAACCTGGAACAGAGCACAGTGCCAGAAGCAACCCTTAGAAAACACAGTCCCAGGGGATGCACATACCCAAAGGTGTTACTCTGGGCTATGTTATCCCTTCTTTCCCAGCCTTTTCACTGATTTTCTGTTGGACTCTGGTAGCTATAGGCTGTATATCAGCTGAACCCCAAAGCTAAACATGTGCTTTTGGAAGTGTGCACACACATGTATGTGTACAGCTACATTTATGTCCCATGCCTCAGTGCATGGGTGTGCTCCCCTCTCTGTGTGCCTGCCCACACACAGCAGCATTTTCTGCAGCAGAGGACCTGCAGGGAGCAGAAGTGCAGGTGTCTAAAGCAGCTTGGAGTGCACATTCAAGCAGACCCTGCAGAAATGACCCTCTGTGTGTGAGTGTGAACGTATGAATTCCCTGGAGCACAGAAGAGTGACAAGCATTGGCCTCAGCACATTTCAGGCTTCTGTCTTTGTTCAGACCACACTGGAGGAAGGATTAATTTATGGCAATTATAGACAACAGGTTGTGATTCATTCATCATGTTCGTTCCTTCTTCTCACGAGATAAAAAACAAACCAATGTCCCCAACCCAACAGACAACAACTTACTCTAAGGCAGAGGAAAATATGCCAATATTCCTCACAAAGCAGTTAAATAGCTGTTTATTACTAGGCTCTCAGTGCAGCATTAGAGCAAGAACATTGAGTGATGCTGAATCTGAATAGGCTGGAGAGCCACTTTGTCATCCCACAGAACTGCAGAGACCCACAAAACACAGATGGAGAGGGGACAGAGTGGAGATGTGTGAGGAATTCATAATAATGGATTCTTTTATTCTGGTTCTTGCTAGATGTGGGAAGGGGAAGGTTTTTCACTTTGTAAATTTTGGCTTTATCAGTCTGGGTGTGAAGCTGAGCGTATGTGTGCATGTGATGTGTGTGCCTTTGCTTGTGTGTACCTGTTTCCTTGTGTCTCCTGGCTCTGCTTTAGGAGGGGTCTGTTCAGTGCATGTGAAGAGGTGCAGGAGGGGCAGGATGTGTTTGGCAGCAGTTCAAGCTGACTGATTGCCTTGCAGAGGAGGGCACTACCTGGGCCATGTTCTGCGTGTGAGGGTGTGCTTGCTCCTTGGCGTGGCACAGCTGGAGCTCTGTGTCTGTCTGTCTGTCTGTCTGTCTGTCTGTCTGCAGTACAGTGTCTGCATGAACAGCTGACTCCTCTGCTCCTATGTGTGGAACTGCTTGGAGGCTCATTGCCTTCCTGTACATGTGTGTGAGAGTGATGGAAATGGTTTAATAGCACTCTGTATTTCTGGGAAATCCATGCCTCTGGATGGGTTGCTGGCCTTTTTGTGGGAGGGGTTGTGTCAAGATGGTGAGCAAAGCTCTGAGAGGCTCTTTGATTAAGATTGTTTTTGGTGTGTTTTGGTTTTTTTTCTTGAATCTGAAAGAAAGTCCTCTAAGGGGAAAGCTGTGGAACTTCACACCAAGGGCTATGTTGAGCACCACAGGTGATCTGAACCCGGGTTTCTTCCCAGGTGGATTAAAAAGGGAGAGAAGCCCAGGAGATATGTAGACCTGCTACAAATGCAGTAAGAGGGGAGAATGACCTGTATTTCTGGAGGGAGCAGCTTTCACTTCAGGCTGGGGGTGTCTCTAAGCTTGTCCTCTCTTGCAGCTCCCCTGGTGGACCTCACTCCCAGTCACAGTGGTTCAGCCATGCTGATGCTCCTCTCTGTCGTTTTTGTGGGACTAGCTGTGTTTGTCATCTACAAGTTCAAAAGGTATGACCTTCCCTGAGCCATTTCCTTCTCTCTGTTGCTGCCTTTCACTGAGGTGTTTGGGGTTTGTTTGCTGGGTTTTTTTCTTTTTCTGAGTGAGTTGTTTTTTGGTTTGTAGAAGCTGATACTACATCATCTGCCAGAGTACCACACAATGATGGTTTCTGTTAATGTTTTAGGAAGATTCCTGGCCTTAATATATATGCACAGATGCAGAATGAAAAAGATCAAGAGATGGTCAGTCCAGTCAGTCAGAGGGAAAGCATACCTAATGTCCCTCAAAGTGAGATGATGAGCCCTGAGCAACTAGTAGATGAGAAGTTGGAAGTCCACCCCATAGGTAAATAACTTGCAGCATCCTGCAGCTGGTCAGACTCTGACTTATAATTGGCTAACCTTTTTCTCAGTTTCCCCTCTTCCCATATTCCTGCACAATCCTCCTCCCATCCTCTTCTGCTGCAACATTAGTTGTGCTACAGGAAACCTTCTAACTCTTCCCTCTCCCTCACTGCCGTGTGATGAAAGGGAGGGGAACAACTTTAGGCTTTTTCTCTCTCCTAGTTGCTCTACGTAGATCCCCTCCCCTTCTTAAAAAAGTCCTGCTGGCAATGTAATTTATTTTGCTGGGGTTGATGTAGTTGTGGGGCTAAGCCCCATTTCCAGAAGAACTTCAGCCACCCTCACCTGGAACGTGGAGGTGAGCAGGTGATTTGGTAAGTAATATCTAAAAGCTAAATACCTGTTAATGTTTTGACTGCTGGGATCTCTGTGCTGTGCCAGACCTTGTTGCCAGCAGCAGTGTTAGTCTGGCTGATTCCCAAATAAACTGAGTAAAACCTGGGATCTCAGTATTGAGCAGCTGGGTTTATCCTCCGGCTGACTTCTCCCACAGGCCTCTGTGTTTGATTATTTCCAAAAGCAGTTTTTTTTAGGCCCTAAAGTGAATAGATTTGGACAGGGCATTCTGGGATCTGTCTGATTTCTGTTACCTGGCTACAATAGAAATACTGGGACAGAGCAGGGACAGTTTCAGTCTGGAGACATGTTCTGCTAAAGCCAGGACTGCTTAGACAATGCTCAGCTTCACTCACGAATGACTGTTCTGCAGGTCCAGACTGGAGGTACCCCTGCAAATAAGAACATGCACCTATTTTAGAGGAATTAAAGAGAAAAGACTGCTCAGGGATGTTGTAGAGTGTCCTCCTCTGGAGACAGTCAGAGCTCTCCTGGTCATGATCCTGTGCCACAGGCTCTGGGTGAAGTTGTTTCAGCAGGGGGATTGAACTAGATGTTGTCCAGGGGTCCCTTCCAACCCTAACTGTTTTGTGATTCTGTGACTTAGGCAGGAGTGAAGCACAGGTACAACTGAGATTCCTTATTTGCACAGATTCATCAGCCTAAACAAACCTTAAATCTCACCCGAGGATGTTCATAAAATCTGTTGGAGTGTTTGCTAAAGCAGGCTTGGAGTCACGGCTCCTGTAGAGAGGGACCAAGGAAAAGGACAGTTTAAGGGGGGAGTGTGATGTGCTAAGATTGCAGCCTGTGAAACAACCTAGGAGGAAAAGGAGAAAGGCTCATGATGAAACTGATATCTAAGCTGGAAGCTGCACTGCAGTCAGTGCTAATCTCTCCTAACCTGTTCACTAAGGAGATTTTTTAGCTATTAAAAGCTTTTAAACAGCTATTTATCAGCAGACCTGGACACCCCTGCTTAGCAGAACAGAGGATGGAGTGAGGAGACCAACCTTCCCTTGTGGTATTTCCTATGCAGAGCAACCTCAGGCCACAGTCCAGAACCCAAGGAAAGGAAATGCAACCAAGGTAGTCTGGACAGAGGACTTCCAAAAAGCTTGTGGATCACCAAGAGATTTCAAGCCAAGACCCAGAGCGGTGGGTCCTAAACTTTAACAATTTTTTTTTATGTTTGTTTTTTTTTTTTGTTACTATTGGATTTTTCCCCCCTAGAAACCTCCAAGGTAAAATTGCAGTAAGATGCTAAGAGGGAAACACCCAATTTTAAGTCAGGAACTCTTTTCCTAGAGTGGGGTGAGCTCTGGGCTTTGAGCTTCCCCTTTCTAAAAGAATCCAGTGGTGGTGGTTCACGCTGTTCCAGGAGCAGGGAAAAATATGTTTTTTACAGGTCATGCAGACTGTAGTGGCAAGGGACAGTCTCTCTATGCAAGGTACCTTCAAAACTGCTCTTTCTGGTGGTGGAAACAAAACCCTAGAAGGCTTTAGGATAAGAGAAATCAAAAGCAAATTTTGGGTTCAAGTTTTCATCTGGCACATTTATAGCATTTCTGGCTTTCTATAACAGCCAGAATTTCATACATTTCTCAGCTGTGCTACTGGACACTGCACTGAACCAGAACTTGGCCTTTTACAACTCCTTGGTTTGCAACTATGACTGCACAATCAAGCCCTAAAGTTAAATGTGTGAGAAACACAGACTCAATTATGTATCAAAAGGAATCAATCCAACAAACTTCCTAAGAGTGTTTTTCCATCCTGTCAGTGAGATGAATGAGAAAACTAAATCAGAGCTCATTGACAAAATGAGAAGGTCTGGACCTAGGTGTGAACAGAATAGAAAGTGCAAAGTCACTCTCTGATACAACCACCTCATCTGTTTCTGGAAATCAGCAATTTCTTTTTTAATGAGTTTTCTTTCTTTTGGGAAAACAAAGCAAGACTGTAATTGGGTGTTTCTCTTTTGTATGCTTGCTCAGAAACCATTTGATTTTTCATCACCTTTGACTAACAATCAGGGATCCTGCCTTGGAGGAATCAGAATTCATGTCCCTGCATCATTTAATTTTCTCTCCAAACTCTGGCAGCAAAACCTCTCTTTCCTATTTTCTGGATAGGACTGATTTAAGTACTTCTTTTGCAAATGCAAGGTTAAGGTTATTTATGAAATCTCCAACACCTTATCATTTCAAATGAGTTACACATTTCTTCTGAGGACCTCAACCCCTCCTCCTTCCCTCCACCCCTCTGCTCCTGCCTTTCCCTCTACCCTTCAACATGGGTGAATCATCTTCATTAGCAAGAGAACAGGATATCACCTTCAGTGTTTGAATGACAAGCAAATATTTCTGGAAAGAATGTGTCAGTCTGAACAGCTGAATCCCAAAGGTCATCAAGGTGATACCTGCCAGTATCTTCCTTGACTAAATATGCATATTATTTACTGATTTTATTTTGTTCTTTGCCACAGGAAGTATTTCCACAGCTGCTGAGCCCCAGAGCACAAAAGAAATCCCTACCTATGTAAATGGTTGAATTGAGGACACCAACATCTGTATCTAAAAAAAGGAGGAGAGCTCACTGCATTTGGACTTTTTAATTCTTCAGATGACAAAGGGTTTTTAGCTTTAAGCCTGTGCATGTGGACATTATACTGAGACCATAGTGGAACTGCATTGTACAGGTGTTCAATTTTAGTGGGGGGTGGGGGGAGAGGAACTGGTACCACTATTCACTCCTGCGGCCCTTCCCCTCACCCTTCCACTCTCTTTTTTCTGATCTGTCTCTAATTTGTAGAAAATTCATAATGATATAGGCCAAGAATATGCATGGGGGGGTCTCTTCTTTAGGGAGAGGGGTGGGCTGGGATGTGGGGGGAGAAGGGCTGGGGTGGTGGGAGGTGGGAGGGAGAGTTTAGGGTTCTTGGCTTTAGGTTTAACTGCTCTTTTAGCACTTTGGGCTGCGGGAGGGGTAGCTGTTCCAGCAGATTTCCGTAGGACACACACACACACACAGAAAAAACACACTGGAGTTTTAAGGCACTGAAAATATTCTTGGTCAGTCTGGTTTGTCTCTCTGTTTGGACTCTGCCCTTCGTTCCTCTAGCTGCAGCTGCTGCCCATGCCCCACACTGCGAGGAGGCTGAGTGTGAGCGTGGGTGATGCCAACTGCGAGGCCAGGCTCCTTCTTAAACAGCTTTCTTAGCCTGCTCACCCCAAGGCATCCCACTGGTAGTGCCATGGGAGGATAACACTGCCTCCTAACCCTGAACAGAACAAGCATGCATTGCAGGCAGGAGGTTCTTGCCAGCAGGAACTTACTGTACTTTGTGCCAGCCTTATTCCTTCAGTTTTGGCTGAGAGAAAGCAACACCCTCAGCTCCATGTAGTGCTGATGGCTGAATTTGTCTGGGAAGTCCCAGGAGGTCTCTGCCTTTTCAGTCCCCCAAAGCCCAATGCACCTTGTCCATAGAATAGGGAGCAGGAAAAGGTCTGTGCAGTTTTTCTGTGGCTTTCTTTGGCACCCCCATTGGCTGCAGATCTGCAAACTCCTGCCACACTGGGCAGAGAAGGGAGAACTTGGCCTGGGACTATTGCCAAGCATTTTGAGCCTCAGCACCACAGAACCACTCTTACACAAGATTTGATTTCTTACCAATAACTTAAGCTTGTATCTTACCCTGCAAGTGGAGATGAGGCTGTAGGACGTGTTCACGTAGACTGCAAGGGATCAGCGGGAAAGCAGGAGTAGCACACCTCAAACAAAGGCACTGGATAGCTGTGTGAAGCCTAACCCATGGTCATTACAACTCTTGGTTTCCACCCCAACTCAGGTAATTAAACCTAGCACCAAGCTTTTGGTTTGGAGTGTAAAGAGAGAAATACTGTAACCAGAGTACACTCACCTAACCATGTTAGGTGGAGGCAGGATCATAATCAGTGAGGCACACGTAGGAGGCACCCTGATCACTGACAGAGGTGGATTTTGTTCAGTAGGCATTGCCCATGGCAACCTGAGTCAAAACCAGGAGAAAGCAGCATGGTCAGTGTGGCCCAGAGTCCCAGGGCAGGGATTTGGTGGTGGTGGGTTTGAATTTCTCCGTCACAAACTGGGCACAAACCTAAATCAACCCACTTGCTAGCAAAACAAAAATGATCCCAAGGACATTAGGCCTGTAGTAGTTAAAGGATAATCACAGTACAGAGTCCTCTGTCTCTTTCTGCAGTTTCTCTGAGGACTGATAGAAACACAGCAATTTGTATGGCTTTGCTATTATGTTTGCAACTACAGCTTTAAGAAAGATGGGAAAGTTTTGGCTGCAACTGTATAATAGTCCCCACTGAAGTCCAACATTAGCCAACTTATTTTTATAGTAAGCCAATCAAAAAGTTTTCTTATAGTGTTGGAACTATTTCTAATTTTAAAATTACTTTTTTTGATGTACTTTTTCATCTTCTTTTTCTCTTTCGTTAAATACAATGTAGCGTAATGTATAATTGCTATTGTTTATTGCTTTTACAGTCATATTTATTAAACAGATTATGTCTCTAAATAAAGGCCCATGTTTTTGTTGCTCATTTTAGCCTCTATCCCTGACGGGGATCACTAACAATATTAAAACAAGAAGTAGCTGATAACCTAAAAAAGGTATGGATGCTCACAAATGGGGGGAAATACAGTTCCTAGAAGCAAAGGTAACTTTCTGAGTCCACAATTTTTCTGCTTTCCAAACAAGCAATGATAGAGCTCTGTGCAGTTCCCTGAAACTCCAGCTCCATTCCCTGTCCATGCTTATCCTTCCCCATACAGTCTCTGTTAAATGTCCCTTTGAAATATATATTTTTTTTGGCTCTGCTTCTGCCAGCACTGGTGAAGGAAAGTCTGAATTATTAGCATTACTGATTAATTTACATGTGAATAAAATGAAGCCTAGGAAGTGTCTGTCAGCTTGCCATATGGCAGTGGATACATGTTGCAGAGAAAAAAAAAAGGAAGAAAACTGAACTTCTCTGCATTTCAAGTCAGGATGCAGCCACCTCTTATAAGAGGATCTTGGTTCAGTGCCCTTTTTTTGTACCTCAGGATGTGAATTTATGTATGCACATAAGTATTCAAAGATCTGGGGTTTAGGTATCCTCTGCAATCAAGGCTGTGGTAGGACATATTACAAGTCCAGGAGTCCTGGGTTTCCTCATTGGAGGAGGGCGTAGTTTTCAGTCCTGGGCAGACCCCAGTGTAATTAACAGTTATTAGCCTAGAATGTTCAAGTGGACACTGCAGCCTTCTCCATTCAGGCTGGCATGGCCACAGTGCAAGTGCCTCGATGAGGTGTGTGAAGCCATCATCTGCTTTAATAGTTTAAGTACCCACCTGAATTAGCAGGCATCTGTTCTGGCCATAAACACTAAGTCTGGTTTGGCAAGCATCTCTCTACAGCACTTTCAGATCATTCTCTTCAGCTTGTTGTGTGTCCTGAGGCAGAGACTGATTGTTATTTGTAGTTGTTTTCTGGTTTGTATAACAACACAGTAATTCACTGCTAATGGATGAACACTGTGAGAGTAAACAAAGAATACCAAATACTTATAAAATCCAATATGAATTTTCTCTGAGGATGTTGTCTTCCATTGAGGGAACAAAAAATTAATCATCCATTTTCAGAAGGAGAAGATAGTTAAAATATGGTTAAAAAGTCAAATAAAGTATTTTCCTAAATTGATGTTGATTCTCTACCATCAAAATATACAGATGAGACAGACATTGTGGCTTCAAAGAGATTTATACTTCTCCACCTAGTAGGACATTTGAGCAAAGATGCTGGATTGTTTTTCCTGAAAAACAGTAGTTGTTGGTGTTTAAATACTTTTAGGGATTTGCGCCTCAAACAATTTCTTGCTCTTAATATGTGACTACATTTGATTGCTTAAACTCTTTCTGAAAAGCAGGACTCTTGAAGTACTTGCTAAAGTGCTTATGAAAATGAAGCAGGAATTTCCAGTGACCCTGAATGAACCCTGTCTTTGTCCTGTCAACTTCTGCTGAGAATTTCTGACAATTGCATTTAGCGTGGTACCCAGAGCTGATAACAAGGGATTAGTATTTTATCTGTGTGCTGTCACCTCTCATTGAATGCATGAGAAGTTTCCTTGTCACATTATATCTCTAGGTACATTCAGTGTTTTAAACATTACCCCTGACTGCAGAGCTACCGTGTTCATGGTGTTGAAAAAGAAAACTTTATTTTCCTTCAGTTAATGAGATGCTGTCCCTGCATTTCTCCTTGAAACAGAATGATAAAGCATGTGAATAAATAATACTTGAGCAAAAACAGATCCTTTTAGTTTAGAGTGTTGGTATGATCTTGGCCATAATACCCAGAAGAAAAGACTGAAGTCAGATTGTTTTCTAATTGATGAGATCAAAGTGCTATTATGTACCAAGTCATTAGCCTAAGAGATATATTTCATCTGCAGTTTTAACTTTAGCTTTTTCCTTTCCCTTTTTTCCTGCTGGGGAATATGTCTTTCTCTCACTGTGCTGGAAGAGGGTTGTGAAGGAAATCTGTGTTGTATTTTTCTCAGTGGGAGGATTTCAAGATGCATTCCTTCTTGTCTGCATTGTGGTGCAGCCGTCCCAGTGCTGGCTGCTGTGTGCACATTGGCAGTAAAGGTGAAAAAAATTAGGGGACAGATTTTTCTTACCACCTCTGTATTGCAGGCTGGGTCTCATGTTGTAATCTTGGGCCATTTTGGTGAGTGAACCTTAACCAGACCTTCTTTACACACTCCAGAGAAAATAAACTGGAATCTCAAAGTTTTGAGAGTTTTATACTTTTTTATGGAGAAGCTCTGAGAGATGAAGGTGCAAGAGAAGGACTCTTGAGAAGAGAGGCATGACTGCCTCTCTTTGATATAACACAGATGCACAAAAAAACCCTCCCTTTTTGAAACAAATTCCTCCTCCAGCCTTCCCTAAACAAAGCTGGCTACGGTGACATTTCTGGGACTGCAGCTACCCTTGCAAATAATTGCTCCCCAGCCCGAGAGCATGGGCCACCGGTCCCATGGACCTCATCATTCCTTCTTGTGCCCCCCATGAGGCAGCTGTAGGGCAGAGCTCTGAAATGAGAATTGGACTGACAGCTGCCTCTGCTCTGGCTGCTTGCTGCAAAGAGATGAATAATGCATGCAGCACATTTAAATGTAATGTCACTGAGTGCTTTCAGGGAGAAAACCTTCGACTATTAACCCTGCCTGCATGAGAGGAGCATCCTTGTTCGATTCCCTGCAGAGAGGGGCTGAACCTTTATCTCCAGCCCAGAAGGGTCTGGTTGCAGCATGTCCCCATGGTCTCTCCTTGTGGGCTGCACTCCAGGCTGAGGGTCCCTCCTGGGGCGGAGGCACTTTCAGTGCCGAGTCCTGCTCTTGACATTTTGGCTGCAGCTGGAAACTTTCCTTAACCTCTGAAGCAGAGTGCTCACTTGAAGTGATCCCTGCCTGATGTCACGTGAGGTGAGTGGATGAGATTCAGCACTGCTGAGGACTGGATGGTGTAGGCCATGTGGAATATTTATACCAGGTATTTCACAGCAAATAACTTTCCCACGTTCCATCCCTGCCTCATCCCACACAGAGTGTGAAATTCAAACTGCTGTAATCCTCCTTCATGCTCCCTGAAGCTACAACATGTCTAGAGCAATGACCTGAGCTTTCTTCCATTCCTTCTTGTGTGAGGTGAAGCTGTTTGGTCAGAGCTGCAGTCCCCTGAACAGGAGTACTTACAGGTGTCTGTCTCTGGAAAGTGCTTGCTCAAGAGATCCAGAAGAAGCCATAATAAACTCACAGCCAAAATCCTACCCCAGCCTGTGC